CCCCCTCTCCCTCTCCTCCCTCTCCCTCTCCCTCTCCCTCTCCCTCTCCTTCTCCCCCTCTCTCTCCCTCTCTCTCCTTCTCTCTCTTTTTCTCTCTCTGACCTTTCTGGCCTTGCATCTCCTCTCACCTCCTGAGTTATCCTTAATATCACCTGCACAATGCTGATGGCTTATGTTTGTGCCCTGGCCCTGCCCACTGACATCATCTGGGTGACGCAGATAGGTAGGAGACATCCTGGAGCCTCTGGGGAAAGGTGCAGGGTTTTGGGTATTTGCACATGCGCACAAATGCATGTACACTCAAATGTTTATATGATATAGATGGAGAAACTGAACTATTCCTATTCTGGGAAACAGACTTTTGAAAAAGTATGTGTTCTCAAACTTTAAAACAACTGCATTATCATACTATCTGGGTCTGAGTTTTGTCTCCATCGTTGGCTTTAGTGTGGCCTTGGGCACACATATTTCTCTGAGGTTCAGCTTTCTTATCTGCCTGCTAGGTAGGTACTTTAATTTTGGTAGTCTATACAAAGCCTGTGAAGGATCCTACACACAGGGTTAGAATTAAGGAAAAGCCAGAATTAACTACCTAGATTGTCTTCATGTTTTAAAAGCACAGATTCTGGAGGTTACAAAGTTGCCAGTCTATTACCCATTTCCCATGAGCTTTGCTGACAAGGCCTTGAGTCTGAGGGTTATGGTGGTAACCTTCATTATTTTTCAGAGATGCAGCATTTCCTGCATTAAGCCTATCAAACATGCCTGCTGTGTGGTGAGAACAGACTGGAAGGCTAGATCTCTGCCTCTATACTGTGTCTGCCCCTTTGGAGCTTTAACCCGTGGGTAAGGTTGGCTTGACCTAAACCCACCTAAACCTCTTTCCACCCCTCCATGCCTTGATAAATGTCACTAAGGCAACATTCCCTCTCTAGGCCACTGTAGTATCACCTGGGAGTCTACCAGTCCTGCCCATGACCCCCTCCTCCTCTACCCCTCCACATAAAGCCTGTGCACACAGCTGACACCCTAAGACTGTCATCTTTGGCTGGGAGGTGGTGGTGCATGCCTTTAATCCCAGCACTTGGGAGGCAGAGGCAGGCGGATTTCTGAGTTCGAGACCAGCCTGGTCTACAGAGTGAGTTCCAGGACAGCCAGGGCTACACAGAGAAACCCTGTCTTGAAAAACCAAAAAAAAAAAAAAAAAAAAAGTCATCTTTGGCAGCAGCCTCTCAGCTGTTGTTAGTTTTCCCAATACATCGTGTGTGTGTGTGTGTGTGTGTGTGTGTGTGTGTGTGTGAGTGTGAGTGTGTGTGTGTCCCAACAGTTCACCCTCAAGTCATTGGCCTTTTTAAGAGATAGATAAAGAGTAGCAGGCTGTCCTCACAAGCAGTTACAGTTAGCATGCCACAGTCACTGTGGCAGGGCTCACTTGCCTAGAGGACAGCCTGTACCTTACTCCTCCTGACGTCACCTGACTGCTCTGACTGAGCAGAGGGGCAGACCTACAGATGGCTTAATCCTTGCTAGAGGAAGAACTGTCTCCCAACCTCTGACACTGGTTTTTTGATTACTGAGGGACCACACTGGAAATCTGGTTCCCAATTATCTGTCATGTATCCAGAGTAGATGTCTGCTGCACCAGTACTGCCTATGGTGCCTGGATTCCCACACCCCACACACACCCCCATCCCCGCCCCGCTGCCCCAACAAGGTTCCTGGCTCATCACTTGGGCCTGGGCTTAAAGGTGGCCAAGGTAGGTTGTGCTTTTCCCAGTGGAGTGGGCAGGAACAGGGTTGAGACCATCATACACAGAACATAGTGGGAAGGCCCAGTAGCGAAATGCTTTGGGGCTCCTCCCAAGTGTTGTAGTACAGTGTGCTCCTAGTTACCATGAAAATGGAAAGAGAGTGTCATCGGTGGGGTCCTGCATTACCTGTCAAGAAGCTGCCACATCTAAATGAATAAGGAAATCATTGATGGTCCAAAGGCAAAGAATTCTACAGGTTCCTTCATAAAGCCTCTTTTCATGATGGCATTTTCTCAAACTAACACAATTAGTTACAATGAAAAACAGAACTGTAATAACAATTCCTTACTGGTTGTCTTAACTTGACAGTTTGTTAAAGAAATAAACCATGGCTGAGAATATTACTTTGTAGTAGAACATGTTGTTAGCATGTGGGGAACCCTGGTTTCAGTCCTAGCTGAGAGAGGGAGAGGGAGAGGAAGAGGGAAAGGGAGAGGAAAAGGAAGAGACGGAGGAAGAGGAAGAGGAGAAGGAGGAGGAAGAAGGGAGGAGGAGGGGGAGGAGGAAAAAGGGGGAGAAAACAAGAGAAATGAATAGCTATCATTGCAGCTTAACTTGAGTAAGTCCTCGCAGGTGCGCAGCACCTCCCAGGCGCACACAGCTTCACTGACTGACCAGTAAACTCAACATTTCACACTGACAGTGTCTGCTACAAGCCTGGAGCAGAGCAGTCAGGTTGTGGGGCTGGCTGATGAGTTTCCTTTCTCCAGGAGCTTAGAACCAGGGAAAGGAGATGTAGCACACAGACTGACGTGAAGTGCACCCACAGATGCAATTGAAGACTAGAAAGAGGCCTAGTTAATTCCAAATACACGCCATAGAGGAAGTTCCAGGGACCAGAGAGATGCCTCAGTAGTCAGCATCATGTATTTCCCTTCCAAAGGACCTGAGTTCAATCCCCAGCAGCCACTGGACTTCTTAAGCAGAAACCTCAGGCGTGCGTGTCTGTGCTGTGGTAGCTACTTCCTTTTGTTGCTGATGCACTCAGCCTGTGCACCCCCACATCCCTTGCACCTGCCTTGCTACTGAGACCTCTCTCAGCTCCTTTCTTTTCCAGTCAGCCTCTTCCTGTCCCCATGACACAACTTCCTGATTCTCCTTTCAAAACGTTGAGGCCCTTTCTTCCTCAGCAGACAGCCGCAACTTCTGTCCTCTGAAGCAGCTGACTCAGTCTCTCTCCTGGAATGGATCACTGGCCCAAGTAACACAGCTGAATTGTTTGTAAAGGCCTGTCCAGTTTCCTCAATCTTATACCCTTAGCAGACATACAGACTACATGAATCTAAAATAGGCTCACACGGCTGGTGAAGTAGCTTAGCAGATAAGTACTTGCCACACAAGCCTGATGACCCGAGTTCTACCCAGAATCCGTGTTAAATACATTGCCTTTTAAAATGCAAAAGCCTGTAAGATAAATTAATTTCTAAATCCTTCGACAGTCACACAGGAGGAAGGCCTGACAGCTGGACCTTCTGTGAGGACGAGAATGAGCACATGTCAAGGGCTTTGCATATATTATCTCTGTCAGTCTGGACAGAGCTCCATAAATTGATTGCTGTTCCCATTTTATAAAGGAGCAAACAGAGGCTCAGGAAAGATTGGTGGCTTGCCTGAGGATATTCTACAGCTTACTGATGCCTCGGGAGAATGTGCTCGGCGTGAAGGTCATCACTGCCCCAGAAAAGTGGAGTTGGGTAGAGCGGGGGGCCTAAAAATTGTTAGTGGGCAGAGAAAGAAGAAAATAAGTAGCCTGCCTGGGTTGTCCTTGGCCTAGGCTGCTCTCTAAAATGCTCTGGGCTTTAGTTCCTTCACGTGTTAGGGTTATCCGAGGGTGTCTGTCTTCTGCTATTCTCATTCCTTATCAGACATGCGTTCCCAGATGCCATAGCCTGGATTCTTACACCCCACAAAATGAGACTGTTGGACCCCCAATAACCACCCAGGTGATGCTATTAGGGAATGCATAATTAGATCCCAGGCATGGAACCCACTCTTGGATGAGAGTCTTTTATAAAAGGAGTCTCAGAAAGATCCCAGCTTCCCGCATCTCCAAAAATGGCTGCTGCTTTCTGAATAAAGTACAACTTACAGATTCAGTGCCCCATCCTGGGAATCACCTCTGCCAGGAAAAACTCTGGCCACCAAGGCTGACAATCTGAATCTGATCCCTGGCACCCACATAGTGGAAGGAGAGAACTGAATCCTAAAAGCTGTCCTCTGACCTCCACACTGTGCCATGGCAAGTGTGCACTAAGTAAATACATGTTATATACATGTTATATACATGTCATACACACACACACACACACACACACACACTCAATTCCTGGGTGACTTAGATAGTTCAGTGGGCAAAGATGCTTGCCACCAAGCCTGATGACCTGAGTTCAATCTCTGGGACCCACATGGTAGAGAGAGGCAACTGTCTCCTACAAGTTGTCCTCTGACCTGCACATGCACATGATGGCACAAATACATGCACACTTTTCTGTCTCTGGTCATTGGCATTTCTGGTGACATAAAGCTGAGAGTTATAGGGAAAAAATGTCTTGGATGAGCCAGAAGGCGAGCCCTCTCCAGACACAGACTCTGTATACTCCTGACCTTGAGAACCGTGAGAAACAGATGTGTACGGTTTCTGAGCCACCATGTCTGTGGTACTATGTTACAGCAGCCCAACCCAACTGAAATGCAGGCTCCAATTAGGGGTCCCCTTCCTGATCCCCAAAGGGGAAAGCTGATGGTGAAATGCAGTACTAAGTGTGAGGGACCTCGTCATGAGCAAAATGACCGCTGCCTTGGACTATGGTGGCTCCATCATCAGAAGCCCCAGGTGGCCATGTAATGGCCTAGATCCTATTTTTTATTTTTTTCAAAAGACAGTTACTCTGGTCTCCTTGGTAAGGCAAACACCTACAACCTCTTTCCGTCAATTGCCTCTCCACTGCCTGTGACCACTTCTCTCCTTAGCTTACCTCACTGTGGGGGTGGGGGGAAGCTGTGGCTAAGCGCATGGCACAGGCTTCCCCTTTGTGCATCAGCACTGGGCACAGATGAGTCACAGCCTGGGACCCAACAGTAAGGGGAGGACGCCCTCTTACCTCCAAAGGCTGGCCTCATGGAGAAGTCATGGTCCTCTACCCTGAGCAGAGGCCGAGGTTTTCCCATCTGGATCTTGGTCACATCAGGGTTCTTTTTATACAAGTGACTGCAAAGAAACAGAAATGGGTTTCCGTGGCCCGCTGAGGTGTCGGGAGAGAGCAACTGAACAGAACACTCCCTGCAAGGTCCGCCTGTTCAGCATTTCTTCTTTATTCTGCTACACAGAAGGAGGCAGAAGGCTAAATCTCCACACCACCCATACCCTCACAAGGATGTTCACCCGAGGACAGGTCCTTCCAGAACATTTCTGGGAGCAGATATCATCCCCTGAGGACATTTTTGTACCTGCCAAGGTCTTTGGTGAGTTGTGAGAGGATGAAACTGGTTAAGCTGAGGGATGGCGAAGATTATGACTTTTTTTTTTCTTAAAAAAAAAAAAGTTCCCAAAGCTGAGCAGGATAGTTTGGTAATCCACACCTTTAATCCCAGTACACTGGAGGCAGAGGCAGGTGGATCTCTGTGAGGACCAGCAGCCTGGTTTACTTCAGGACTTCATGGTGAGACACATGAGTTACAATATGGTTTGTAATAAACATGCTGTGATGTAAGCATACTCAACACTCTAAACACTGCTTCCCCCAGCTAGAGCTGCAGCGGCTTTCATCAGTCCAGGGGACAGATCTGTCCGTCCCTCATCTAGCTCGGTCTCTTTGTTGTCTTATACTCTTTGCAGATTAATTTTGTCCCGTGAGCAGTCAGATCCAGAAGACTGTAAAGCGTTTGTCTAGTGGTTGGTTATTCTGTGGCAGGAAGGATGGTTAGCCTGTGTCGGGCATCTAGGCTATACCATTTGTATTTCTCAGGCAACCCAAAAGGTGGGCTCTGAGCTCGTCTCTGTGTGTCTGTGCCAAGCACGATGCCCAGCACACACTAGATATCCAGTGAAGTGGGAACAATATGAAGCATGCACCAGTCAGCTTCTAGAAGGAACTCAAATTGATTCTACCATGTTTGGCCAACATTGTCTTTAACCCAGATGATTCTTGGCTTTAACTGTCTGTTAGGGTTCATTTCCTGGGAACTTTTAAAAACTCTGATGCTTGGGCACAGCCCAGATCACTTAAATTCATCTCTGGAAAGGACCCTCACTAATTCCCACACAGCCACACTGAGGACCACGGCTCCAATGTGACATATGAAGATCCTGTGACACATCAGTGATTGCAAACTATCACTTTCTGTCAGTGGCTCTCAGACTTAACCACAGGGTAATCACCCAGGGGCTGTCGTGCTGCTGCTGTGGGGTTAGGTGGTTCTGAAGAGGCAGAAGTGTGGGACTCTCCAAAACCCCGGTGAGTGCTGGGTGAGTGGGACTTGGAAACCGGAAGGACTTTACTCTGGCCCTGCTTTTTGGCGATTTCCAGAGGTGCAAGCCAGTGCTGACCATGTGGTGTAAGAGGTGAGATGACCGACACGTGAAAGGCAGCAGGTTTTCTCAGGACTTGCAAGCTGTTGTGTGCCACATTCCGGGGTGCTGTAGAGCTAATGGGTACTGAGCACTACCGCTCCTTTTCTGTCCTCTCATTCACCCTCATGCTCCTGCCCCAACCATTCAGCTTTAGAAAGACCAGTGTTTCCTGTTGAAGCCATAGGAGAGAGGTGGCAGGTGGACCTCGGAGACACCTGTCTAACTTTCATCTTCAGCCAGCTCTTCACAGACAGTATAATGCAGAGGGCCGTCAAAGCGGTGCACATCCATGAAGTAGCCATTAGAGATGAGTAGCCATTTACATCTTACATAGAATTCAATACAATTAATACCCAATATCTCTCTCATCCTAGCCATGTGTAAGTGCTGAGGAACAACTCGTGGCTTGTGACTACTGTCTTGGACAGTATAGATAATGCTTTTGTGATCACAGAATATTTTATTATTGGCCTGGCGCCGGTTTAAGGGTTGGCAAGGCCCCTGACCCACACAGGTTCCTTTAAGCCTCCAGCTTAGGGCCTCTTTTCGACTGCCTCTCTCCATTTCACAGCTCCAAACCTCCCATTCATTTCCTCACTTCCAGTGAGGGTTCTAACTCTGCCTGGGTCTCCCCACTTCAACTGGGGATGGCAGCAGCCATATGGACAGCCATCTGGTAGTGACCAGTGCCAGGAATCATGTTCACTCGCTTGACAGATTTCTGGGAGCAGCTACTCTGCCTAACGTGTTCAGAGCGTGGGAGAGTACTGCTCGCAGCCTCCTGAGTTTGTGACCTAGCTGTGGAGATGACAAGTTAGTGGGTGGGTAAAGGACGTCACTTTAGGGAGTGCTGAGTGCTGTAAAATTACAAACAGGGTAGGAATCAGAGGCAGAGAAACTACTGAGAGCGCCCATGGGGATGTCTTCTGAGACCTGGAGGCAAAGTGGAAAGGGCAGACTGAGCCAAGAGACACAGGTACAACAAGCCAAGTACCAGGGACATGGGACACCTTGGCCTCGGCAGCCGCTAACCTGGTTCAGTCCAGCTGGTTCAAGCTGACCCGCCACCAAGTCTTCTGTCTACATTTTCTTCTAACATAAGGTTCTGAGGTGGTGGAACTCACAGAGGTATCTAACCTTCCTTGACACAGAGCCTTGGTAATCTGCCTCAACCACTGCCCATCCCCAGCTTCCCCGGCCCCATCATGGCTCATTCCCATGTGCAGTTAAACTGGACTCCAATTTCTCCTGCTCTGAACCAAACGTACACAGCCACATCCCTCCCCACAGCAGAACTTTTTTGACAACTGATGACCCTGCCCTGGCCCATCGTTACCACAGAGAGCATGTTGACCCCAGAGCTCACTTTGCTGTTGGCCACTCTAAAGGTTTTGATAAATGCCCAAACAGTACCATGTAAAGTAATGTTGATGCCCCCACACCAAGTCCTCTTAGCCTCAAATTTTTCTTCACCCCAAACAAGCAAACAAACAAACAAACAAATAAAATTCTCCTAAGAGCTGGGCTCCATGTGCAGCTGCCTTCTCCACTAACTGCAGCAGTGTCCAGCCACAGAACTGCCAAAGCAGAGAGGGCTTCAGAAGGGGCACTGTTGTCTTTTCAAAATAAGACACTCGGGGGTTCGGATGCCTGCTTGGTCTGTTCCCTTGTGCTGCTGCCTCCCTACCTACTCTCTGTCCTCCCTTCCAGTGTCACAAAGCCCATGTCCCAGCATGCCTCTTCCCTCTTAGCAATCTTCGGCAGGCTCCCCCGTGCTGGTGGTTTGTATTGCCACAGCATACGGGACCATCATCATCTCTCTGCTCTAAGCCTTTGTGTCCAACAGCTAAACTCCACACCCCAGTTGGGTACCATAGAGGCACTTGATATGAGACCCACGTCCTCAGCTATACAGACTGATGAGAAAGAAAAGGGCCAAGCCCCTGGATAGGACTATGCACTTTGCTTATTGCAGGAATGTGCAAGCCCCAGGTCAGGCAGAACCTTAATGATCACGGGAAGAATTCTGCCTGTTGAACGGCAATGGGAAGCGAGGAATGGTGCTGAGCACAGAGAGAAGGATGCAGTGACGAGATTCACCTTCCGACAAGCCCATCACAGAAGAACGTGGCAAGAAGAAAAGCCCACTCAGCTTTTCCTGTAATAGACACAGGACTTGGGCCCAGTCTGGTCTTCTTGGGCATGAGCAGTCATGTCCAGGAGTTCCTGAGAGACTTCCACAGTCCCAGGAGTCTGGGACCAGGCCTGGTCCTGCAGACAGAGACAGTGTGAGGAGTTGAGGGAGAACAGAAGAGTCAGGGGACTAAGACATGATCAAACAGGAGGGGCCAGGAGATCTTAAGGAAAGCCTGGATGCTTACCATGTGAAAGAACAGACAGGATACCACCACCACCACCACGCCCCGCCCCAACACACACACACCCTAAAGCTGGCATAGGCATAGCAGCACCATACAGTATGTTAAGATTAAAACACACACCTCTGAGTGAAGATTTGAGATGCTAATGAAACCAGAAGTGGTGCAGCACACTTTTAATCTCAGCACTTGGGAGGCAGGTGAGTTCAAGACCAGCTTAGTCTATATAGTGAGCTTCCAGGACAGCCAGAGCTACATGATGAGACCCTGTCTCAAAAACCAACCATCCATCCATCCAAACAAACAAAAATGCCAGTGAGACAGCAATGCATGAAATTATATGTGGATTGACACGTAACAGAGCATGCTCAAGGAAGTCTACACTATGCAAACGAGCCACAAAGGCTTGTGCTACATAACAGGAAAGCCTGGTCCTTTTTGTACCTCCACTCTCTGACCTACTGCCTTAGTTTGCTTTCTATTGCTGTGAGAAACACTGTGACCGAAGGAAGGGGGTATTTCATCTTACAGCGTAGAGTTCATCGCAAAGGGAAGCCAGGGATGAACTCAAGCAGGACCCTGGAGGCAGAAGCTGATGGAGCAGTGCTGGACCACTTGCCCAGGAGTGGCACTGCCCACAGTGGGCTGAGCCCTCTCTCATCAATTGTCAATCAAGAAAATGCTCCCCAGACTTGTCCACAGGCCAATCTGATGGAGTATTTACCCAATTGGGGTTCTCACTTCCTACATAACTCCAGCCTGTGTCAAGTTGACAAAACCTAACCAACAGAGCTACTGAACTGTCTCCTTGCTCCCAGTTTCTCAACTGGAAGTCTTTATACATGTCTTTACATTTGCAGCTACACCTCTGCTCAGTCCTTTGTTCCAGGACAGGACCCTGGGCCACAGGGTCCTCGAAGCACAGTCAGCATAAGCAGATCCCCTGCAAAAATTGCAGAGGGTGGATGAGTAGCTCAGAGGGCTTAGCAGGTCACAGACATTAACTGGGCCCTCTGCCTCACAGGCGCAAATCCTTCCTGTCAACACACTTTCCACAGCTATCTAGGGAAGCATTAGCAAACCGGAAGTTACAGAATGCCGTCACTCCAACAGGATACAGCAGGTTTAAGTCCGTTGCCACTGGGGCTCAGGGATTTTTTTGTTTTAAGGGACTAGTTGTTTGATAACTGGAGTGTCACTGGATTCTCCTGGGCCCTGAGCTGTTCCTCATGAGGGGGCTTCTCCACTCATCTTTGGTTAGGCATGGCCATTAGCCCCAAACTTCTGAGCCTCACCTTCTTGGTAAGAAGTCTTGGGTGACCTTAAACCTGGCCTTATGAGAAGAAAACTAAAAAAAGAGGGAGTGTTCTCCATGCCTGTGGAGTGGCTGTGTCTATGGGCACAGGTTCGAGTTCTGGATCTTGATTTATTTGCTAACAACAGTAATCCTAACACCGGGTCTCACAGGCAGTTCTTCTCTGTGCGGGTACTCAACTGTGAATTTTAGACACTCCTCACCGATCATCAAACTTATTTTTCAATTGGAGAAACTGAGGTCAGCAAGATTAGGAAAAAAAAAATCTGCTTATCATAGGCAAGAGTTACTTGGGGGGCGGAAGAGGCTGGCCCTGGTCCAGAAAAACAGACCCATGATGAAAACCACCAGAGGAACGGCCAAGGACAGGGCCCAGAGAGATGGCTGACGGGAAAGGAGAACTCAAAGAAAGCCCAGACTCAGAGATGGGAAAGGACAGACTCATAGCCTGGAAGCAAGTAGGAAGGATGGAGGGGGTGGAGGATGTGGGCTGAGGTAGGAGGCAGAAAGGCGGGAAGAACAAGGAAGTTCTCTTGAAAGGTGCAGACTCCCCGGCAGCAGCTCAGCACAGGGGACCACCAAAGACCAGAAAACCAGCGGCAGGTCTTAAAAAGCAGCTGCTGGGCAGAATAACTGTTTCATATGAGTGGCTTGCCCCAGGATGCAGGAAGGTCGTCAGGTTAACAGAAGTCATGTGGTGTATAAGTAACATGTGTGTTGTGTGTGACTATGTGAGGGAGACCATGTACACTGTGTGTTTATGACTGGAACCACATAGCTGCTATGTGTGTATGAATGAGTGTGTGTGTGTGTGTGTGTGATCAAGACTTCTAAGAAGGGTCTCAAGGCTGAGAACAAAGGGGTCATATTTTCCTACTTGTTAGATTACATAACTTCCTCATAATGAAATTTTGAAAACTAAAGTGTCAGAAGCATGACTGACTCGTCTCCACCACATGCGTGTCCTGTGAGAGCCAGAAAGACCCTACGCTGGGCTTCCTAGCTAGCCTCTCACGGCTTTGCTTCAGTGAGCGCACACCCTTTGGCTGTCTTCATCTTTTCTCAGGTTAACTCCTCATGGGGCACGTTTTAAAGAGATGGTGTTCGCTCCAAGTGTCAGAGTTGAGCTTTCCCTAGTGTTACATAGTATCATGTGAAACTCTGGGTCTTCTGAGGATCAGCAGAAGTTGTGGCAGCCAGGCTGCTGTGTGGGGTCCTAGAGTGTGGACACCACTCTGAGGGGACAGGTCATCTTCTATCATGGTCTCAGTGGGAGAGCGTCCCACACGTCAGCATTTGCTTTATTGCTTTTAAGAATCACTGTGATCTAAGCCCCTCTTCAAGGTTCATAATGTCCATCTGAATCAAAAAGATTCTGGAATTTAATTGTGAGGACATCTATTTAAATGGCTCACAAGAGGGTTTCCCAACCTCCTTTGACTCCATACCTCCTTCTCACGATACACCTGATCACATTTTCCAAAACCAGAGTTCAGAAATGCAACTGGACCAAGTGGGTTCTGGGGTCCCTTTCTGGTTCAGGCCTGCACTCCTGGACACATTACCAAGATAAGTTTGAGGACAGAGCCTCAGCGAGAGCTGGAGTAGCAGTGTCCACTGAGGTGCTAGAAGTTGATTATAATTCTTATTGTTAGTTTCTTTCTGAAAATAAACAGCCAACACTTAAGCTAGTATGCCTATCTACAATGCTGCATGTATGTGTTAGAAAAAAGAGAATAAAAGCAAGGGGGGAGGGAGGGAGGGCGGGAGCGCGGCCCCCCCCCCCCCCGCCCCCTCCCCCCCCCCCCAGCCCCCGCGGGCGCGCGCCCGAGAGGGGGGGGGAGAGAGAGATTGATTAGAGGTGCAGTTTCCAGAAACTGTTACCAGTAATAGTACATGGCCAAAACTATTTGAAGACCACTGATCTAAGCAATTGGTCTCACATACTCAAGGTCCTGCAAATAAACTAATCAACAAAGACATCATTTATTTATATTGAAAAGCATTCATTCTCAGAACTTTGAAGGGACAAGTGCAAGCCGTTTCACACAGAGTGTGTATGTCTGTTCACTCTTTCTTCTTCATGCCCAGCACTTCTTATGCCTCAGCTTGGGGGATCAAGTTCTGTACAGCTGTCCAAATCAGATTTACTAGGAGTGGAGATTTTTTTAATACAACAATTTTCAGTGCAAATGCTGGACCTAATCAGTATTTCCTGGAAATGTCTGCAACAGCACCCACTGTCGCACTGCTGTGAATGTAACAAACAAACTCTCTAGAATTGGAAACAGTAACACAAAGCCTGCTAATACGATCAGTTCATCGCTGATAAATAATTTAAAGATGACCACCTCCGTTACATTTTGTCTAGTTCTGTCATGCTAGGGCTCCAACTCTGGGCCTCACACCCTCTGCAAGCACCCTGTCACCGGGCAGTACTTGAACATGGCATGTTTTGTTAATAATTCACATCAAGTCCTCATATAGTTTCCCTTACAACTCTTGGCTGAAATCCTTTGTGTTCCCTGTGGGATATAACCTGACAGAAGCAAAGCAGCAAAACTAAGAAACACAGAGAGATTTTTTTTTTGTTAACCCACCACGTCTGCGCCATCCACCAAAACGCTCTTAATGTACACAAGTGTCAGCATCAAGACTCACTATAGCACAGCTCTGTGCTCAACGCCATGGCGGAATGTCGGCACTTTGGGAAGGTAGAGGTTCCTCTTACTGGGGCACCATAATAGGACATTTAAAGGAGGTAATTACTAGCTCTTCTGGGGAAACATACTGGAAGTACCCTTCCTCCCTCCTCACCCAGCAAGCCTACCTTGGCTTGGATGTTTCCAGGTTCCCTGTCCATCTCTTCCTTCTGGGCTTTCTGCTCTCCACAAGAGCCATCAGGCAAAACAAGAACAAAGCGAATCTCATAAAATAAGGCATTCTGCAAACGTCTATGATGCAACAGGCAGCTGTGCAGGGACCTTTAACGGGGAAGATGCCCCCTGGCTTAACCATGGATCCTGTCTCCAGCCTCCGGTCAGTGCTCCTCTGAGAGGCTGTAAGGGCATGGTTGGCAAGGCTGAGTTTCCCAACCTACTAATACTGATGCCTGCCTAGCCCCCAACTCCCACACACCTGACCATGACACAAACACCGGGCTCTGTCCTCCCCTCTGCTTAGAGATTGGCCATTAGCCAAGGAGTCGGTCCTCCTGGGAAACTGGGGTTCCTCTGAACCCTAGAACAGCTTTGGCTAAGGCTGTTATATAAAAAAACCATTTTAAATCTCTTGAACATGCCAGCTTTTTGCTGGGGTCATTAATCCATCTCTCTGGCTACATAAAACCAGTCTGTCACATCCAGCAGCAAGTCAGCTTGATTCTGAGTGGATTTGCATGTGTTTGGGGAAAGCTAAGAAAAAAACACTGATGGTTCTAGAGAGTTCTTTGATCTAAGAGAATATGCTTTACCTATGACTGAGGATAACAGCTTTTTACCTCTAATACATGCCTCTTTTTTCCAGAAAACAAACAAACAAACAAAACAAAGACACCCATTTTGATTTCTAAAAATAGCATGAAAAAGGAAAAGTCGTAATTATGTAACCTCTTTTTCCTATCATTACCTCTGAATTAACTTTGTTCTTTGACCCTGAAGTGTGTAAAGTCAAACATCATCAATTAGGCTGGATTTTATCCTCTGAAATGGAATTGTGCACACTAGAAGTATAGAGATATATGAGGTCATGCTTAACCTGATGAACAATACATTGAATTTTAAAATCACTTAAAGCTTGGTTATCGTGTACTGGAAATGAAGAGTTTAACGTGGGAGAAACAGATCTGAGGACGGCAGAGGTCAGGTGGAAAGAAACAAAATTGGACTTTTTATTATGTGAGGAAAGAAGGAACAAAATCAGGACAGAGGAATGAGACGTCATCTTTTTTTGTAAAGATTCTTAATTCGAATCCGTTGGGTTAGGAAACCAAAATAACCAAAGAGGCTGATGTAAGTGTGTACTAATCCCAACGATGCAAGGGGCAAGACCACCACCGACCCAAACCATCATGGCCAAAGTTAACTGAAGCAAGATTTCCAAATGGGAAATTAGGAAATAGGCGGGCAAATAGGTGGAGTTATGGGAGCAGCATAGCATGTCAGGCATGCTAAGGTCGTCATGACAACAGGTGGTTACAATAACCTTTTGAAACAAAGGTAGGGTTGCAAGACGGTCATGACAACTTTTTGAAACATAGACATACTTGCAGTTTTCAGTAACAAGCAGCACAGAACCATTTGTAGTTACTGACGGGGCACAGTCCAATCCTAGAGAAACAGAAGTTTAATTTTAAAAGCCTACATTGGCTTTACTACAAGATGGCTTTCAAGCCTAAGATGGGGCAGGTGGGCTCGTCATTACCCTTTTATCTTAAGTGTCCTTGTTAAATCCTTGATAAAATTTTGGCATTCTTTATCTAGAGGGAAACAAAGATTGTAATGTATGGCCCATTCATAAATTATCCCTGTTTGGTTAGAATAGAAAGACCAAAATTTTAAGGCCATATAATCTCGGTATGCCAATAGAAACTATAGGTAACTATTTTGTCCCCTTTGCCAGGGAGTTTTCTTTTAATCTAATAGCCCAGCCTTCTGTTGAGGATAAGGGCAATGTGTCCTCCTCTGTAACTGAAGAACACTGCTGTGAGACCCCAGGAAGGTTGGAATGCTAGCTAGGGGCTGGGAGGGGATTAGGGCAATGGTGGATTTATCAGAAGCATTTGGTTTGCTGACCTGGCTAAAGAGACAGGAAGAATCACATCGACTGGACTTGTTTATATCAGTTTTCAGCAAGTCTAGGGCTTTCCAGTTTTGAAGGACTACCTAGGGTTGGAGTGGTGTAGCTCACCTTTGGAGCAATTGTAGCCTGCACCTGACCTCTGGATGGTGTCTACTAGCCAAATGGCACTCTGCCAAGACAGATACAGAAGTTAAAGAACTTAAAGGGAACTTTTACATTTGGAGCTTCCTCCTTGGGAATAGGCAATAGACACGGAAGCTAGGCTGTTGACAGGAGTGCTTGTCTGGTAGACTCAGGACCTGTGAGAGAGAGGTGGAGCTAGGTCTTCTGACTTTCTCGACTCCCTGAAGCTTACGTTATCCTTGTTTGTAATCTGTACTGAAATCCAACTTGTAGAAACAACAGCTAACAGGTATCCAGAAAACTCACTTTTCCAGTGAGTCCGGAAAGGACTCAAACCTTTGAGTTGTGGCAAAGCTACAACTTTAGCTTAAAGAGCATAAACATTCTTTTGTTTTAGATTTTTTTCCCCTGTCTGGAGGACTGGATATATACAGATTGGACAGAGATGTTTTTAGCATGATAAGAAGCATCTTTAAGTCTGAATTCAAAGACAACCAAAGGAAATTTAAAATCTTGATAATAGTACTTTACCATGGCTATATGAATAGCTTATCAGAACTCTATCAATTAATATTAAATTTTTGAATTTTTGAAATCTTAGTATAACAATAGCATAATTTGTATTTATATATCTTATGTATCTTTTTTTTAAATTTTTTTTTGAGATAGGGTTTCTCTGTGTAGCCCTGGCTGCCCTGGAACTAACTCTGTAGACCAGGCTGGCCTCAAACTCAGAAATCCGCCTGCCTCTGCCTCCCAAGTGCTGGGATTAAAGGCATGTGCCACCACCACCCGGAAATATCTTTTATATCTTAAGTCAGTTTTTAGACCCTCATAATTTTTTAGGCTTTTATATCCTTAGATAGTTATAATTTAAATTATTTTTAGACCTTTATAACTTATATAAACCTTAAACGTTTTTATCCAGTTATTTAACATTAGACATAAGTGGTTGATTACTAAAAACAGTCTTTGCAAAACAAATTCCTTTTTTTTTTTTTTTTTTTTTTTACAAATTCCTTTTAAACTGTAAAAGTTGTTTATCCTTTAATATGAAGTCTTTTAGTGAGGCAAATCTGTCTGTAAATTTGCCTTTTTCATCAGGTGACCTAACAGCTCTAGAAAAGTAAGACCTGATTTTTTACACATAAAATGCATTGGCCAGGCTAAATTGATAAAGCTACAGTTAGCTGTCAAAACCATCAGAGATCTGAGAAGGATAAATTGTAGCAGAAAGTATAATCCAAATGGCCTCTCTATCAATTAAAATGACAGACTTACCACCAATTGAGCGTTTACCCTAGGCTCCTGTGGTCTCTGTGGCTTCATTGGTGGCAGTGGTTATTGGTCTCCAGCTGTCACACAGGACAACATCATATTTTTGGTTGCTCTACAGGACAGCAAAGGCCTCTGGCTGCCAGACCCAGAAGGTCCGAGAGATTTTCCTGTGGAAGAGAAACTTGGAAAAACTGTGACGAGGCAGAGCACGGCAGCCAATGCAATAGTGTCCACAGTTTGAGCAGAACCCTGGTGGCAGTGGCCATTTTTCCCACAAACCAGGTGAAGTCGTCTGTGTCCCCATTGTCTTCTTTGGAGACCTTAGGGTTGCCACTAGGATCTGGCATCTCTGTCTATCACAGGAAGCTTTTTTTCTGTGAATCATTTTCAATGCCATATTCAGCAGAGCTCTGGAGAGTTTTGAGGGTCATCTATTAAGTGTACCTAATTTTAAATAAGCTTTACTTGTTTTTAGTTACATGTTTTAGGTTCAACGTTGAAAACATATAGAGGAGGGTAAATAAAACTTAGCAAAATAAAACTTTAAACCATAAATACAGTTCATATCGAGACTGACTACTTTACTCTCCTGGCCGAGTATTTACTCTGTTGCAGAGTATTGTAATTTCTTGTGTGACTCAGCTTATCAAAATCGCTAAAGCGTAAGACAGGTAGACATTAGTCAGCCTCTGTTAGCCGGAGTGAACCTTAGGTAAGGAGAGACGTCCTATGGGATCTTTGTCAGACTGCTTAGGTCCTATGCAGACTGTTGCATCGTAAAATAGGGATAGCCCAGTTTCTGGTGTTTCCTATTTGGTGTTTATAGTTGTGGCCCTAACTTTAATTGGCCAGCAATTACACTGGGTATTTGGGATTCCAGTAGCATTGAGATTTTCTCAGGGTGAACCTTTAAACACAAAGACCATGTTTTGGGTTGACATATCTCAGTTCACAAGAACAGTGTTCTCGAGAAGTGGAGCTACAAGGGTTAAAAAGCAAGGCTGGCACATCTGGAGACTTGCCCAGAAATACTGACTCTGACGGACTAAATGTTTGTGTTTTGGCAGGTGGTGCTATCTATGTGCTGAGTTTTACAGCCTGAAAGGTAAGGTTACCTATGTATAAATTTTTAGTTATTAACTGTGTTATAAGTTTTAAGTCAATTTTTGTTACAGATCCTACATGTTTTTGGAATATAACCATACCCAATAAACATAAATCCTGAGGTACAGAAGCTAAATATAAAAGTCTTACAAATCTTGAGATAAGATATCTTATATCTTAGAGAAGTTTGAGACAGATGAAATCAATATTCTAATTTTTTTTTTTTTTTTAGTCACTCTACTTTGCTTTTTTTCCCTCTTACAAAGTTAGGTGGCTCCCTTGACATAAGACAAAAATTTTACATCTACAGAAGCAGCTTTTCAATTCTGCAGAACGGCACTTGAATTTTCAGCCTGGCTATCAAAGCAGCCTTGGCAAGCAGCTGCAGATTTGTGGGTTGGGTTCGGAGGAGGACTTGCCCGGAACTGCCCCAGCCCAGAGGCGTGGGAGCGGCAGCGGCTAGAGCTTGGTCTGACTCTTAAATTCTCCTGTAACTGGAGAAGACTCATTTCGGGAACAAAGAAATACATACAAGGTACGGAGACAGCAAACATAAGACCAATACAACACCAGGGACAATGGCAATGATTGGACAATTCAAAGATTCACCAGTTCGACCAAAGAAATCTTTTTAAGAAATAGGAGGCTTTTCCACAATTGCCTTCTTGCACAACCCACTTGGAACCCGCTAGAAGTGCCGGGTTTTCCCCGGTTCAGTTAGGCCGGGCCTCTCAGATTTCCATCTCCGCCCCAGTAATGCCTGATGTCCCGTGCTAGGCCTATCCAATCTCTTGGCTCCCCGTTTCCTGGAAGCAGTGTTCCTCTGCTCTGTTGTGCAGACGGACTCATTGAACCCCTGCCAAGGGTGCTCAGATGCCAGACCTCTCCAATTTCTTGGCTCCCAATCTCACCAGGGCATCCCCAGGGTCCCAAAGAGGGTCAGAAAAACAAACAACAAAAACAAGAACTGGTGGCTCTGGCCAAACTCCCAAGTAACAAAGAGAAGTAATTGTGACTTCTCACTTGTTACCATGGACTAAGGAATACTGGATCTTATCAGAATACCCCACGTCCCCAGATCAGGATCCCACAGGACCAGATGTCAGAAAGAATATCTAAGACTTAACAGAGGAGGCCTCCATGAACCCATGCTTGCTGCTCTTTTTGATACACTCACGTAGGCAGTTCACCTTACGAAAGGCATAGCTCGGGGCCTTGCAGTGTCTCCATGGTGTGCACATCCTAGGGAGCTTACCCCAACTGGTAAGCAATATTTTTTTGTTCATATACACACATTGCCTCTCCCTAAAGCAGGGTTCAAGAGGTCAGCACTGGACATGAGCAAGATAAGGGCTTCTATAGCTCGGGGGTAGGTAGAGCGTTTACAAGTAAGGGGCAGCATAACAGGTGGTCACAATAAGCTTCTGAAACAAAGGTAGGGTGGCAAGATGGTCATAACAACTTTTTGAAACAAAGACATTGGTTGTGATTTCCTGGAACAGACAGTACAGAACCACTTGTAGGATTTCAGGTGGGGCACAGACCAATATTCGAGAAACAGTCTTAATCATAAACAGGAATGAGCCTAGTCTGTCTTTACTCTAAGATGGCTTTCAAACCTCAGATGGAGGCAGACTTATTTATGAATCTGAATATGAATCTGCATTAGAATCCACACTACGCGGCTGCCTGTAGTACCCTTTCCCCTTTCACAGATACCAACAAGTACCTACTGGGATGTTAGGCATGCATCTGGGGTACCAGACAGACAAGCCACCAAATGTCTCAGCAAGGCAAAAAGTTTAACTTCTGCAGATAGAAGGCTACACAGGTGTGAAAATCCAGCAAGCAAGTGATAAGTGGGTTTATTCCTGATGCCGGAGTCCTGCGTCTCACCTGAGTAGTGGGAGCCTGGCCTTACGACATTAGCTAATACAGACGGATGATTTCTAAGGGAAAAATGAAACCTTTAAGTGAATGTTTTTATTTCAGGAGCCACAGTCTCAGGTGCCAGAGTTACTCATCATGGGGAGGTATTGATGGCCATTCTGTTCCCACCTGCTTCCCTGCCTTCTGTAAGGGGTCAGGGATCCTGACTGCAGGTTGTGAACTCTTACCACCACCACACACCTTTTCTCAGAGAGCTGTTTAAGAAAGGACCCCAGACTTTGCCACATGGACCCTGATTCCTCCCTTCACGACCCCTGCCATACTGTCTGTCTCTGCTGCTGGGACCTGGACTCTCTTCAGAACCCCTACTGTGCTGTCATCTGTTGTTAATAACTTTTCTCATAAATCCCCAACAATGGTGTTCTTGAACCTAAATGTTAGACCTCTCAGATGAGGGATCTCCTCAAGAGAAGGAGAAAAGGAGGCAGCCAGGAGTGAGTCAGTCAGGACGGCCATGCAGTGAGCATTCGGTCCTTCTGAAGAGGATAGAAAGGGAACATGATGGGGGTGTGGGTGGCAAAGCATGAGAAAAGTCTGGCTTGACTGTTCGATGGTGGAGTGAGAAAACTTCAGAGACACTGATAAAGCCCAAGTTGCACTTAGGGACAACAGATGTTTCCCAAAGGTGTCTCACCAGGGACAGGAAACACGCTGCAGATATAGGGCCAATGTGCTCTATAACCTTGAGTTTCTAGAAGCAGGCAAGCTTCTCACCTGAGCAATAGCCCCATGAATCCATTTACAGAATGATCTCTACCTTTTAACTCTGTATCCTTCACTTACTAACTAAAGGGGAAGGGCTTTCTTTGCCACCTTACAGATATTAACTTCAAGGTCACCAAAGTCCTACATGTACCCATTGTAAAGAGACCCGAGTATGACTTGCTCTGGAGATGCCAAGGTTTGGGTATGTCTTATTCTTTCCCTGGCACCCTCCTTTCTAATAACCTCTGAAATATGGTTCCAATTTCTTCACATTTTTGTCAAAAGTCATCTGGCTTTTTTCTACTTTGTAATTATTTTGTCTGCATGTATGAGTATGCACATTGTTTATGCTTTGTGCCCAAGGTGGTCAGAAAAGGGCATCAGATGCCCTGGAACTGGAGATAGTTATTACCTGAGTATTGAGAATCATACCCAACGGGCTGGAGAGATGGCTCAGTGGTTAAGAGCACTGACTGCACTTCCAGAGGTCCTGAGTTCAAATCCCAGCAACCACATGGTAGCTCACAACCATCTGTAATGAGATCTGATGCCCTCTTCTGGTGTGTCTGAAGACAGCTACAGTGTATTCATATATAATAAATAAATAAATCTTAAAAAAACAAAAAGAATCATACCCAAGTTCTCTAACAAGATAATAAGCGCTCGTGCGTGCTCTCTCTCTCTCCAAACCCAGTCCCCACTTTTAAGATAGGGTTTTACTGTGTAGCACAAGCAGGCCTCAACTTCCCAAGTGCTAGCATCGCAGGTTGTACTACAACTTATCTGGAGTTTGTAATCTAGGTATGAGTACTCTAGCTTTGCCTGTGGTATCTTAGTGCGGTTTTGATATATAGCTTTCCCAATAGCTAATGATGTTGAGCTTCTCTTTATATGTACACAGGGAATCCAAATTTTTTGGAGAAATGTCTATTCAAATCTGTTGGCTTTGATTTATTTCACTTTTTTTTTCTCAATAGAGTCTCATCTGGTTCATGCTAGTTTCAATCTCACTATGTAGCCGAGGACTTCAAAACTTTTGGTCCTCCTGTCTCTATTTCCCACATCCTGGAATGACAAGTGTGTGCCACCATGGCCAGCTTCAAATCTGTTGTCAATGTTAAATAGTGCTACCTCTTTTAGTATTGAGACAGGATCTCACTATGCAGCCCTGGCTAGCTTGACCTTGATATGTAGACAAGGCTATCAGGAATTCACAATAGCCCACCGTCCTCCTGATTACAGGTGTGTCCCACCAAGCCCAGCTGCCACTCTCTTGGTAGTGGAGAGTCAGAAGCAAGTATTCTTAAGACTGGTTGTCTGTAAACAATGGCACAATACTGGAAGAGGTCCAGAGGTAGCTGCGCAAATTAGACAGTGACTAAAGTGGCAAAAAACACAAAGAAAAATGGGAAGATCCAGACAAGGTACTCAGGTAAGATTATGGACACGAGGTAAGATTAGATGGCAAAGAATACAACCACCTTTGGTTAAAAACGAGGTATGAGTACAGTCACTGGTTTTATTGGCAGCTCAAAGAAATTCTGAAAACACCTGCTCAAAAGGTTCTCAGACAGCTTTTGGGTTTGAACAGCATCCTGCCAGTTTCAATGGCTCAGGTATGAATCATTACTCTTGGTTAGTCAGGGCAGCATAGCTATTTCCGTCCAATTTGAATTACTCCCTTTTGGAGGGAACAATGGGAAGAGGGCAGGGAGCCTATAAGATTCAGGAAATAAGCCGGGCAGTGGTGGCGCACGCCTTTAATCCCAGCACTTGGGAGGCAGAGACAGGAGGATTTCTGAGTTCGAGGCCAGCCTGGTCTACAGAGTGAGTTCCAGGACAGCCAGGGCTGCACAGAGAAACCTTGTCTCAAAACAAAACAAAACAAAACAGATTCAGGAAATAAAGGAAACCTGCACAGGTTAGGAAGTTCCCAAAACAAGTTTCACAAGACCCATCCCAAATAAGCACCACCTACTTGGGGAGAGACTCCAATAGGCTGAGCTGCCTGTCAGTCCTGCAGCAGGGAGGCTATTTCCTGAGTCATTGGTCACCACCCAACCTGAGGTGGGCTTTATGACACTGCCTTCAATTCATTCATGCTCCTGTTGTAAGTAACCCCAATAAACTCACTAGTCCACTAACATAGTCTTGGGTAAACTGTTTTTTGGTGTGGGGGGGGTAGGTAGGGGGGGTAATGCCTTGTTTGAGGTGAACAGATGTTTGTTTACATAGCCTCAGGGAGTCATTCAACAGTCAGAGTTACTACAATGCACTTGATGCGTACTTATTCGCAGGTCACATGTAGGCTTCTTTGCACCTCATTCTAAATCCCCATAAGAACGGGTATGTGAGGTTTTAAATTCTGGTCTATAAAAGTGGGCAAATTCAAGATACCACAGTGTTTCTTCATAAACCAAAGCTGAGTAAACAGAATTTTTATTCTCCTGAAATAGAGAATGTTGTCATTTTCATAGTAACACCAGCAAATAACTTAGTTTTCAAAAATTCATTGAGAAGCTTGAGGAAATCGTTTATTTCAGTAGAATAAACCAACAGCAGCAGCAAGGAAACTTAAAGTGCTACATTAATGCCCCACCCACATACAGAAGATTTGGAAGGCTCATGGGCTAGACTGCTACAGGCAAAACAGGCATATTTTTTCGAGCATGCTATTTTAATGTGTAGTCATGTGCTATGCTGGTCAGTGAAGAAGCCTTGAGTTTGAAATCGGAGAACTGGGAAAACAAGAATTTAAGACTTTACCTGCCAGCTTCTACATGGTTTGTGTCTTATGCTGGATCTAGGGGGTTAAACTGAGGCTTTGACAACAGAGGCCCTTCCAGGAGCTCATTAACCCCAGGGTGGGGGTTGGTGGACAATTTTTAGATAGCATATCAGGGGTAAAAGCAAAACGTACCACTTTGATGTGTGTATCAGGTGCTAAAAAATGCCAACACACATAAGGAGGTAGCCAGTTAGCGATAGTGAGGAAGAGTGGATGAGATCTCGGAACAACCCTTGCCACATGGCACAGGTGTCCATGGAAGACACAAGGTCACAGAGTTCTAAAGGCTAGCCAGGCCTGACTTGGGGGAGAGCTGCACATGAGCCACTTCAGCACAGGGCGACAGCGTCAGGGTCCTCCTAAGTTGGGAAGGCCACCTAGGCTTCCCATTGGGTTACTGACTTCTTACTAGATCATGGACCCAAAGTTTCTCATATTATAAACTAAGACCTCAGAATATACTTTTTCATGGCAAGAATATTATTTTTAAAGTGGTAACATATAGCCTTCCTTACATGAAGTCTTCACAGAGTCCTTGGGCTTTTTAGATTTTACCAACCTCATCTATAAACAATCTTTCAATAACTATAAAATCTACTCTATTAACTGGAAGATTCTATTATAGCATTCAGTGCCTTTTCAAACCTTAGGTGTTGAGATAACAACTGTAACAACCAAACCTGGCTCCCAAATACAAATGAAAACTACCTTCAGTGGTGACAGATGCCAACGTCACATGACAGGAGGGAAAACTAAGCTCACCTTTAAAATGATTTTGTGAGCTGTTTTTATCTTGCCCATAATTATGTTTAGTTAAAACCACAGGACTTTACAACTACCTTTCCACACACTTAAGAGACCTATGAGTTAACAGTGGACTGAGCTAGAACCAAATACCATTTATATTCTTCAGTTGTCCTTAAAAAAAAAAAAACACAAAAACAAAACCTTCTAAATGGGCTTTGAGAGCATGATATATTTAAGGCAGAGAACTGCCTATATTTTCCAGTCAAATCGGCAATGCAAGACCCTCAAAAGTGCCCTCGAGGTTGCTGAAGGAACATGCTGAAGGCAGTATTGTCCTAAGCGGTCTCACCAGGCACTGAGATGACAGAACTGCACGTCAGCATCTGGGGGACTCACTGGTACTAAGGAATGGATGGACTTTTCATTAAATTTTTCTTAGGCTTTGACTAGTGGACAATTCTAAATAAAGGTTTGTTTGTGGTTAATCTATCACTGCTACCTGGGCCCTGAGTTTTTCTATTAAAATTTGAACACTAAGCATATTTTTGGAATAATGAAAAGCTGTAGTGATTACAGAGCTGGGCATATCATTCAAACCACGTACAAGTGAAAGTAAAGATTCAAACTTTATGATCTCCTCACCTACTTGTGAAAGAAAAATCAAACAACTTCTCGGCTTGGACCCTTTCTTCCTTGAGCCAGGCTATGAAAGCCTCTTGTCTTTTCATTTATGTGCATATTGGAGATGGTTCATATCAAAGCGGCTACAAAGTCTTTCCTCTTCAAGTAATATCCAAAAAACAAAAATATAACAAAGATCTTCATAAATGTCTGAAATAAAATTATTCTCACTGCACAAAGTTTCAAATAGAAAGATCACAGAATGGGCAAACCCAGTGTCTCTCCTATAAATGACAATTCTCAAGAAGACAAGTGAACAATGTGCCCCCCCCATTCTTCATCCCTCTTGGTCTATATAACTAAAGACAGTACTCAGCAAGTGATACTGAGTAACCAGTAATACTCCACCGTGGAAACATCTTCTTTTATCTGAAAATTCCAAACGACTACATAGAAAAGCATTGCAAATCTATAGAAAAGCAGCGTGGGTGTGAGCAACCACAATAAGTTACTGTGTGTGAAGTGGATTAAATAGTATGACAAGGAACTATGGCTTCCAGTCCCTTAACCTAAGCAGGACAAACTGTTGGACCACAGCCTGAATGTCTACTTGTAGCACAATGAATTTATAACAATAAAAAAAGTAACGAAGGGTAAATACAAAATAATCTTTTTGTAAACAATCCTTAGGTTATACCCAATGCAGAATGTTTAATGAAGCAACTGAGTCACAGCTCTTAAGTCACAAGCCAGCATTATAACTCAAAGTCAAATATGTACTCATTGGCCAGATATATTCGTCGGAATATAAGAGCTGCCAGTGCCAAAGTCAGGATGATGATCAGCATGGCTGACCCGCCGTGCTCTGTGTGGTTGGCTCTTGGAGGCTGGCCTTGGAGTACATCGGGGGAAGTGGACGACCTTCTCTGACTCTGTTGCTGGGCTCTGCGCTGCCGAGGGCTCATGGAGGTATTCTTAGGAGCTGGCTGGGTAGGTTGTGGCAAGGGTGCTCCTGATGGATTCTGGGGGCCATACTAAGAAATAATAAGAAAATCTGTTTGAAGTTGGCCAAAAAAAAATCAAAACAAAACAAAAACAAAAAACCACTGTACATGCACTTGTTAACATTTTGAGAATACCTAGAGTATTAAATATGACTAAGGCAAATTTATCAAGAACCATCTGAATGTGGAGACTAGGGACCAACCCTGATGAATAAGCCAGAAATACAGGTTATCCTGAGTTCTATGAGGTGGAGGAGCTTGTTCACCAGCAAACAAAAGCCTAGTGTGGCTGTTTCTCTCCAGATGGCAGACACAGTGACAGCAATTTCTGCTAAGCATCTGGGCACTGTTCTTCTTTCAGAAGATCCTGAAGAATACTGATTATTTTAGCATTAACTTACCACACTGACATTCCTCCATCAATAACAATAAGGAAATAATTTTAAACCACAAATTTTCCTATCAGTATTGTAAAAATGTGTTTATTTTCAAACTCAGCTTACCCTTTTCCATAATCTCAGACAAGTGAACTAAACCCAAGTCTTAAGCATCTTTTACTCAGTATTCAGTAACTTAGACTGTGAGAGCATCCTGGGTCCATGAGTGCCTCAGTGTGTTCCGCTGTGTACATTACTGTCCCCCATGGCCCCGGGTGTAGCATCTTCCAGTTGCCATAATGACTTGCTCAGTCAGGTGACAATCATGTGACACAAGGGTTTCAAAATCTCAGATTTGTCTTGGAGATATTAAAACTAGCAATAGCACATTCAAAGATGCCATAAAACATAGAACTACACACACACACAGCCTCAGTAACCTGCCTCGACTGCATTGATGGCTTTTAATTCACTAGGAACCGCTTTTTCATTAGAACATATTTATCCTTTAAGACAAGAAATAGGAATGAAATATCTTAGTATAATATGAGTTACATAAAAGACATTTCAAATACTCTCCAATAGAAAAAATGTAAACACTTTAAATAATCAAATAATATAACCCATATCATTAAAATTCTAAGCTTTGTGCTGGCAACAGCTTCAAACATGAGGGGAACTGCTGATCGCAATTACTTGCAGAACGTCCACTTGAAGCTTGACATTCTTTTCAACATCAACATGTTAACTGGGTGTGGGAGATCCCACCTGTAATAGTGCACTCAAAGAGTGAAGACAAGATGGTAAATCCAAGCCCAGCCTGGGCTACATACAAAGATTTCATCTCAAAATACAAAAGTGTGGGGATGCCTCTTGGTGGCAAAGCATGTTCGTAGCATCCACAAAACCCTGGGTTTGATCCCTAGCATAGGAAAAAAGCTTAAATAATCTGAATTTCTTAAAATTATTCTTTACAATCTAGACTCCAAGGGGCAGTCTGTCCACAAGAGCACAGATACAGAAAACTGTATGGTATATGAGGTCCTGTGCCATCAGATGTCACATAGTGAGCCCATAGTCAGTCAACTTGTTACAGTAGCCAATAAAGAAACATTACAGTCTACCCGGGTGGTGGTGGCGCACGCCTTTAATCCCAGCACTTGGGAGGCAGAGGCAGGCGGATTTCTGAGTTTAAGGCCAGCCTGGTCTACAGAGTGAGTTCCAGGACAGCCAGGGCTATATAGAGAAACGCTGTCTCGAAAAAACAAAAACAAGAAACATTACAGTCTAATCTCTGCATCCTCTTGTGATCCTCTTGCCTCATCCCCCACCCCATGCTAAGGCTCTAGGCATGCACCACCATACCCATCCAGGAACAGGTTCTTAAGGGAGACACATGACGGTGATATCACTACAGTCTAAGACACTGACTTGTATCAAAGCTTGTATTGAGTGTATGATTCTTTTTCCTTAGTTTGAGGGGAGATTATCTTGCTCATAAAATTGACAAAACAATGAGCCTTTGTTATTTCTAGTCTGGCTTCGCCTACTTACTAGATGTGTGTTTCTAAGCCAGTTATTTAACCTAAGTCTCAGCCCCTCATCTGTATGATGTGGATAATATCTAATTCAGCAGTTGTGGGGATTAAATGGATTAATGACATAAAGTACTTATGATACACAATGACTTAGTAAATGTCAATCATTACTAATATTGTTACTATTAACATATCCTTTGCAGGGGCAGGAGAGGTGGCTCAGCGGTTAAGAGCACTGACTGCTCTTCCAGAGGTCCTGAGTTCAATTCCCAGCAACCACATGGTGGCTCACAACGATCTATAATGGAATCCAATGCCCTCTTCTGGTGTGTCTTAAGACAGCAACAGTGTACTCATATAAATAAAAATAAATCTTTAAAAAAATCCCTTAAGAAGTGCAAAATGTGAGTAATAGTCTATTTAAAAAACAAACAAACATATCCTGTTGGAGGCATTCAGATTTCGACTCAAAAGCTAAGTTGTGTGTGAGCTTACCTAGAGTGGCTCTCCATCTCCTTATTAGTGTGACTGAGACAGTCAGGAAACAACCCTTAAAGCATGTCTGTAATCTCAGCACTTGGGAGGCTGAGGCAGGAGGGCTGCTAAATTCAACATTAACTTGGACAACATAGCAAAACCATGGTTTTTTTTTTTTTAATTAAATAACCCAGCACACACAAAACTCTAGGTTTGATCCTGGTACTACAGAATTTATAATTAATCAATTGATGCCCAATATTTTAGTACATGTACTTTAACTAAATTGCTTATTGATGGGCGGTGGTGGCACATGCTTTTTTTTTAATCCCAGCACTTGGGAGGCAGAGGCAGGAGGATCTCTGTGAGTTTGAAGCCAGCCTGTCTACAGAGCAAGTTCCAGGACAGCCAGGACTACACACAGAGAAACCCTGTCTTGAAACCTGTCCCCAAAAGGGCTTATATAATGTTTTATTTAGGTTTCTATATTTCAGATACCTTTTGTATAACTGGCTAAATGCTGATGAAATGGTATGAAATACTAACTTTTCCTATCTAAAATAATTATAGTCGCAGGTATGTAGCTAGCAATATATAGCAAATTTTCCATACTAACTAGAACAACCAACAGTGAGTCCATTTTGTTTGCTTTTTATATTAAATAGAATGTTTCCTTATTTACTGTGGGTGAGCATGCACATAACATATGTGGGTACACGTGCCGTGTCACACTTATGGAAGTCAAGAGGACAACTTGTCAAGTTGGTCCTTTCCACCTTGACATGGGTTCCAGGGACTGAACTCAGGCTGCCAGTGCCTTTACCTACCAGGCCATCCTGGAATGCTTTTTTATATAAAATAGAATGGCTTACTCAGAATTTCAATCCCTGGGTGGGCCCAGGAAACTGGTAAGACTAACAAACACTGGTAAGACTGACAAACACAAGCTATCATCCGGTATTTTTCCTAGACCACTTACTCTATAAAGGCACTAAATCATAGACAATTAATGACAAACTGAATGATAACTAAAATAACTAGAATATGTAACAAAGTACTGCACAGTAGATTTAAAGCATATTGATGTATCTATCTTACTCCCTGAAAGAAAGCCACTCAAAGCTATATAGTCCCACTTTATAGTAGATAAATTTTCTTTTTCAGTTTTCCAACTTTTGAAGTCAGTGAAATGGGCCAATGAAATGGCTTAGTGCATAAAGATGCTTGTTGCCAAAACTGATGTCCTAAGTTCAATGCCAGGTCCTACAGGGTAGAAGAAGAGAACTGATCCGTGCAAGTTGTCCTCTGTCCTCTACATATACATAGTAGCATGTGCACAACTCCCTCACTAAATCAGTAAATGTCTTCTATGAACCAGGGGGAAATATAAGACGTGGTTTCCTACTCAAATAATCTGTAACCAAACTGACTCCAAATGAAGTAAGTTCACCTTGCTGAAAGCTAAGCCATTTTCCCCTCACAATCCTCACCAGTCAGCACCAATACAGTACTGTCTGCAATCAGTCTCTCTGATTATCTTTGCTGACCCACTTTTGAAGCAATTGGTCAGAGCAGAGCTATCACCACCCCCAAGACACTCTTTTCATCCAACAATTGCTGGCCACTGACCCCACACAAGGCAGCAGTTCCACAGGGCTGTGTGCAGAGTTTAGATTCTGTGTGTATGCTTCTACAGAGCTGCCAGCCGAATGCTGCAGTGCTAAGGACACGGCCAGTATGTCTGAGGAGCAGTACTGCTGACCTCACTAAACCCTGACTGAATTTAACCTGAGAGCATGTGTCACTAGTACTAGGCCAAGTTGAGGCAACACAAGACTGTGGCTCAGGGAATTCTCATCAGTGCCTAGTATCTACTAGAGAGTTATTAATAAGCATGTTTTATCTAGGCTAGCACATGTTAGTATTGACTTTAAAGAAGTCATAGCATTCTGAAAGAACAGCAAAATCTAGAAACTATTTCGTCTAACCCCACTTAACAACAACAACAAAAATTCAAAAAACTGAAGTCCAAAAAGATTTGTTCAAAACAATATAATTAATGAGGCAGCTGGGCTAAAATCCTACTACTAAGAAAAACATAATTTTCAATATTTGATCTATGATCTTATCTTAATCCAAAAAGATGTGTGTATATGTGTATAGTATGTGGTGTGTGTGTGTGTAGTATGGTGTGTGTGTAGTATGTGGTGTGTGTGTGTGTGTAGTATGGTGTGTGTGTAGTATGTGGTGTGTATATGTGTGTGTTTGTGGAATGTGGTGTGTGTAGTATGTGGTTAAGGTGTGTGTGTGGGGGTACAATGTGTAAATATGTGTGTTTGTGTGTGTGTGTGGTGTGTATTAAAAGATAAGAGCCATACCGATGTGCTTGCTGTAGCACCCTGGAATGTTGTAGGTAAATCGTCTTGTGAATCATTTAGTGAGAAAGACTGGTTTAAGTCTGATTCAGCGATAGTCTTTCCAGATGAATTGACTTCGGCCTATAAATAAGATATACCCAAGAGCAGTGTTATAAGAAGGAATGTGTTAACAATCAGCTAACTCCCTCTCCTGAATTGATCTGCATTGCTCCTTTCCTATCTATTCTCAGTTAAGCTCCGAACATGTTTGCATCTGTTCCACAGGACAATCTGCATTCTGAGGGAGCCGCTACCCACTAAGGAGCACGCCTATGGTTCCCAACCTACAATTCTAAGAACCTCTACAAACTAAAGCTCTAGGTGACTCTCAGGCTTGTGAGGCTAGCTGGGGCTGTAACAACAGTCAACAGTCCCAGGTTGACCAGACCTTATTGTAACTAATCAGCACAAGCTGCATGTATTCCTCAAATCTGAGAAATCAAAACACATCTGACCCTATGATCTTCAGAGAAAACATTGTAAGTACAATAGGAATCCTGGAAGTATCATCAAGAGTTCTACTTCCTCCTCTAGGAACTATGATAACACTGAAGGAAAAACTCCCAAGAACTGGACCTAGAAGCAGACAGAGGGCAGAAAAATCAGTAAGAGGAGGCAGCGGCATGCTGCTTCAGACAGGTTAACTGAATTCCAGAAACACGAGGGTGATTACTCAAAGTATTAAAATATTATATAAATTTTATATTTGGGTAAAATATGCAGAAAAGGGGGATAAAGGGGAAATTGCCAAAATGTTAACAGCAGTAACATCCTGGAGGTGAGGTTACTTTGTTTAAAAAGAGCTAGGATTTAAAAAGCACTAGGGATAGTTCTAAATGCAGCTATAATACATGTAGCACACGTGTTATTTAACATAGCCTGACAAAATCCCACAAGGAAGCACAGGTTATTATTTACAAGTGTAAAGGGGGCACATGATGGTAAAGTACTCTGTCTGACACGTGAGCACACAGTAAACTGCAAAGCTGAGATCTGAACGCAGTCTTATATGCCAGTCTAGTTTTAACTGCTATGCTTTCATGAGTGTACCTTATGTTTTATAGTAATAAAACATTACTCATAAAATCTCATTTCAATAGAAGCATATTACTTTCCTTTTTCCTAGAATTCAGCAGTAATCAAAAGGGCTCCATAGGTGGATCTGTTTAGGAAGTTTAGGAATTTAAAGTACCTTAAAACTAATTTGTCTGGCCAGTTCTTTGGCTTCTTGGTCAGCCTGGCTTGAAACACTTCCAGATTTTAAAGGCAACAGGACATCCTTCATGGCAGAGCCACAGCCTTCACAACAGAAATCCTGTGATCTGGTAGGATACAATGTTGTTCAATGAGCATACACCAAACAGCTGAGTACTAATTCCTTTTTATTAAGATGCTCAAATAGGGATTGAAGAGACGGCATTCAATTCCCAGAACCCACGTGGCGGGTAACAAGCATCTGTAATTTAAGTTTTAGGGGAGTCAATGATGCCCTTTCTAATCTTTACAGGCACTGCACACACATGATGCACAGAAATATGCACATACATGCAGGCAAGACACCCATAAATATAAAACAAAAATAAGTAAATATCAAGAAAATAAAGATACTTAAATACCAAATGGCTAAAAGAAAAGAACACTTAACATCACAGTACACTCATCTATAGGCTGTGAGACAATCAAGGCAGTATTAGCTCCGAGATAAATGTCTTCATTAGAAAAACAGCTTAGACTTCATTTTTAAAAAATAAGTTACCTAAAGAAAGATAAGCTTCGCTTCAGATCGACAGTGGCAACATATTTATGTAAACTGTTTACTATACTGTATGATACTATCCTCAAGAACACAGATCATGAGCCTATTCAAAGTCTGTGAAAAGGTCTAATATGAAGCTTCAGTTATCTCTTAGCAGAAACATGTAAGATAGAAAAAAAGCCAATTAAAAATAGAATTTATAGCCAGGTGTGTTGACACACACCTTTAATCCCAGAACTTGTGAGTATGAAGCCAGCTAGGCCTAAATAGTAGACAGCCAGGGCTAAGGGAATTGGTATACAGTAAGACCCTGTCTCAAGAAATAAAAACAGATTCCATTATCTCAGTACTACCAAAAGGAAATGGTAGTTTGAATTTAATGAATTATTATGATCTATAGATAAACATACACCAAAAAAAAACCAACCCTGAAAAGGCAGTACTACTGTGTCACTGCCTGAGAAAACCTCCTTCTATTGTCCCAGATCATTTATTAATATCTACTTTATATAAGTGGCTAAAAAGATCGAGTGGATTCACTTACACCCCAGGGAATTGATCTTCCAGGCAGCTATAAATAAAGAAGGGCTCTGGCTCGTGCCACCTGTGATATCAGCTAAAGAGGGACAAAGGACCAGTAATACTTTCCAGGAGATGTTTCCCAACTGGAGTAAAACAAATCTCAAAGAACATCAGCAATTTTTTTTTAATTATTAGTATTTTTATGTGTATGGATGTTTTGCCTGCATGTATGTCTGTGCATCTCATGTGTTCCTGTTCCCACCGAGACCAGAGAAGGAGTTAGTTGGATCCTATGGAGCTGGAGTTACAGTTATAAGCCATAATGTGGGTGTTGTGAATCAAACCTGGGTCCTCTGAAGAGCAGCCAGCGTTCCTAACCACTGAGCCATCTCTCCCATCCATCAACTACTTTTAAAAGAATGAGACAGGTGGGCTGGTGATCCCGCTCAGTGGAAAAGAACCTGCCTCACATGGGGTAGAATCCTGGGATTGATCCTTAATACTACAAAAAAAAAATAATAATAATCATGACATCATTTTTTTATATTCTGGTCACTCCAAGGAAATCTGCAGAACTGGATTTCTATAGTTCTAAGACTTGATCCTTAGCCAAGGTGACAGCAGAGAAAGAGACTGTTGACACTAATAGTGTTCAGCCCTAACAAGAAACTTACTTTTTGGCAAGTGCTCTTCTCTCCTCGGGTGTGTAATCTAGAGAGCCTATGGCTCCCTCTCCTTTAGTTGGCATAAACCCAATGATGGCCAACAAGGCTGTCCTTACTGAAACAAAGCGAACAACACAATTTCAGTGAGAGGAGCGGACTTAGGAGCTGGGCTAGGCAGGAGCTGGGTTGGGGTAGAAGCCAGATGAGCAGCACAAGCACAAGGACCCATAGGGTCTCAAACACTCTCATGCTTTCTGTGTGTTTGTCTTAAGAAAGGAAAAAGCAGGTAGACACAGCAGTGTAAACTCTAACCCATGCTAGGGAAGCAGAGTCAGGAGGACTTGCTTGGGCCACAAAGTCTTAAAATGTTCACGCTCCAGGTTCAGTAAGAGACTCTGCCTCAAAAAAATAGGCAGAAGAGAAATAAGACACCCCACAACAGCTGCTGGTCTCACACAAATGTGTACAAACACACAGACAAAATAAAACCTTAAGAGAAATTAAGTTAGCTCTGGAAAAAAAGATCTGAAGGGTTTCAGAAGAGATGCAAGTGAGAGGCTATTAAAGTAACATGTAAGCTTACATATGAGAAAGTATGTTTGATAATGCTCCAATGGTGTCACATATTAGCCAAAACACCTTCAATCTCAAAAACGTATTGGAACTCATTATCATAAACTGAGTAGTGACTGGAGCTTGTATTCACTGATACTCACTGCTCCAAGAAGGCTGCCAGGTTTCAGGATGATGTCCTGAGATGCTTAAACAGATCTTCTTGCCTACTTCAAACCGTCCATTAGCCTTAGAAACAAAGAACACATTTTAAAAACTTCGAAAGTCCACTTAATGCCTTATCCTTTTTATGAATAAATATATTTATATTTAATATGCATAATAATTTAAAGGTAATATTTATTATCTTCTTAAATATTTAGACATAGTTTTTTGTCCTCTCATAGACATTCAAAAATATGTATTAAAGGCTGAATAAATAATACAGGCTGTTTGTAGAAGGTGTATTTGCACCTTTCTGAGACAGGGCTAAATAGTTAGCACACAAAGATTTACTGATGCTATGCCCCGTGCCTACTACAGAACTAGACCTGCTGAACGGTAAGACACATAAAGGTCAGGTTAAACCTAAGGCCAAAGTCACCTGACTAGTTAGTGAGGAAGGGTGTGGAGAGGTGGCTATGAGACAGGAGTCTTTTCAGAATGATGATGCCATTAAATTAGAGAGAACACAATCAGAGAAGAGCACCAATCATGATTTTGGATAGCAGGAAAAGACTCAGAGACTCTTGGCACCTTTCCTTTCAGAGGTGACCATTGAAGCTAATTCTCACAAATGAAAAGCAGCTGCAATCCTGAACAGGTGAAGTGGCCTCAACATTAAGGAAGAAGATGAGGAGGATAGACACTAGGTAGAACTAGCATTCCACTGGGAGGAGGCTGACTCAGTCCTGCCTCATCCACATCCCCGGGTCATAATCCATCAACATTTGCTAAATCAAAGTCAGAAGTGACTTTAGGAAAGGAAGTGAATGAGGAGGCGATACTGACCACTAAGGAGGGCAGAGCTGCTTTCCAGTGCTGTAAATCTACTTGACCCACTGTTTAGCTACTGGTAAAGAGCTACTGTTGCCTACTGCTCAGCACTGTTGCATACACACATATGCACACACATGCACACACACACACACACAGGTGCATGCATGCACACACAGGTGAACACACACAGAATCACACATGCACACACACAAACGCATATGTGCACAGACAGATACATGCACACATGCACACACAGATACATCTATACACACACTGGTATATATGCACACATACACACAGATCTATGTATATACATACATAGATGCATGTATGCACACACAGGTACACATACGGTCACACGCATACACTCACACATGTATACACACAAGTCCCCTCCATATACCAGCCCTTATTCAGACTACTTGTTTCTCCCAGTTAAGATATCAATGGGAGCCTAAAGGGACGTTCCAGCCTTATACCAACATTAACAATTAGCAGTAAGGCCCAGTGCTTGTTAAGTAGCTTCCAGATGCCAGGAACTTTAGAATGTGGCTGTATTTGCCACAACAACATTCCATTAGACAGAAACAAAAACTAAATTTCAAAGGCAATATGTAACCTACATACGCTGCTATGGAAAGGGCACACACTGGTCAGAGCCCTGCCAGTTGACTCTAAAACAAACGCCTTTTGCATCCTCCCAAGTACAGCCAAGCTGTGCTAGTGTGCTGCTTTGGATGAACACCTCGTTTCACCCTTGGGTCAGATAAAAGTTAGAGCAAATAAGATGAAGTCTGAGAAGCTGAGGCAATTCTCAGATAGGTAAAGGAAGCATGTTTCAACAAAAAAAAATCTGTGAAACCAGACTACAATAGCCTAAACAAGATAAGGTTACCAAAGAGGAAAACAAGGCAACAAAAAGGTGTGTGTGTGTGTATGTATGTGTGTATGTGTGTATGATGTGTGGTATGTGTGTGGTATGTATATGTGTGTGTGGGGTGTGTATGTGTGTGGGGGCGTGTAGGGTGTGTGTGGTGTGTGTGGTATGTGTGTCTGTGTGTTTGTCTGGTGCATTTTTCATGGTTTGGAAAAAATTAAACATAAGTGAAGGAAGAAAAGTTTATCAATCAAAAGAGTATATCAATAGTCTTTCACATGAAAATAAAACAAACAAACAGAAATTCTGACAGAAACAGAAATAAACTAACATTTATTAAGCTTTCTGTGGCAGGCCTCATCCTAAGAGCTATAATACAGGAAGTATCCTCTTTCATTTTCCTGTCAATCCAGTGAGACAGACATCATAAATCTGAGGACACTTGGGAAAAGAAAGTGAGGTGGATGTAAAACTGGTTATGTGTGACTAAGCTGCACCACCAGTCCCACCATGCTGTGCCGAGCAGCATGGCCAGCACCCTCACACAGGAACTCACTGAATCCTAACACCGGTGCTATGACACATGCATTCACTAGTATCACCAGTACTTCACAGATGCATCAGCTTCCTCAGAATTATTCTGAGGAAAAAATATTGCACTTCTATAGTCCAAGCTCTGAAGGAAAAATTAGAATAACATTCTTTTTTTTTTTTTTTTTTTTTTTTTTTGGTTTTTCAAGACAGGGTTTTTCTGTGCACCCGTGGCTGTCCTGGAACTCACTCTGTAGACCAGGCTGGCCTCGAACTCAGAAATCCGCCTGTCTCTGCCTCCCAAGTGCTGGGATTAACGGCGTGCGCCACCACCGCCTGGCTCTGCTTCATTTTTTATGACTAAGCAGACTACCTTCGAAGACAGCTGGAAAAGTTAACCTGCAAACACTGTAAAAAGCCATGAGCTCTTACCGTTAGCAGAATAATGCTTGGTGGTTTCATGGGGTACTCTGGTGGCAGTACTATGCGTCCATGATAAACTCCTCCATCAAAATCGGAATCTGGGGGCCCTCTAACTGTGAAGTGCCATTCAAAAAGGTTATCCTAAACAAAAACAAGGTTCCACAGGATCAAGAACATTGAAAAGTATTATCATTTTTATCAATAGTAACAAAAATGTCAGGTGAGGAAAATCAAAAGCTTTATAATAGTGCTATAATAGTTTCTAGTGCTCAAAATGCCTCAAAAGTCACAAGTGAAATGTATTATTTAATGTAAATTTTATGTCTTATAAGAGCTAAAAACTTTTTAAACACAGAATTTAAAGTTTCTGAGTCCCATTATACATTCATAAATAAGATTAATTTAATTAAACTATCAATTAGTGAAAATATAGTCAAATCATTAGTATAATTTTGAGTTATTTTACCAAACCTTTAAAAAGTATTCTTCACTATGTATAGCTGGTTATTAATATTAACAGACTGGCTCTATGTTGTTATACAGTTAGCAAGTTACTTTCCTAACTGCAAAATTCTTACACATTGTAACACGTGTATCTTCACTATCACTGTGGAAATCTGAGTACGCCCACTTGGAATCCTCCTTTCACAGATGAAAGCACAAGAACCACAAGATCTGAGTCTTCTTTCCTTACAGTGTCTGAGATTCTGTCTACTACACTCCCTCCCTCAGCACTGAACACCAGGTTAGCATGTGAAACCCTCTTACATAGGCCCTAAGTCAGCTCTGCCTAAGGAGCCTGATGAAAGGCTAATGAAACATTCATGAAACAGAAGAAAGTCGATCAACAAACAAACACTCCATTAACTACTCAAGGAAAGGAAACACAGTTCTAAAGTTGTCCTAATACTACAGTACTGCAATCCCAAGGAGGGCGGAGACAGACTGACCTCCAGAGGCTGAGCGTGGTAATGATCTGTTGGATCTTTCAATTCTGCGGCTTCTTTCATCAATCGTTTAACAGCTAAAAAGAAATCCATAAAGTGGAGATAGTTAGAATATACTCTTCCAAGTGATCAGCACAGACTAATTAAAAACTTCTAGCCAGGTGTGATGGCACGCACCTCTAATCCCAGCTCTCAGGAGGCAGAGGCAGGTGATCTCTAAGTTCAAGGCCAGCCTGGAACACAGAGGGTAGACAGAAGAAAACAAAGGTCAGGTATCAGCTCTTGAAAGAAAATCAAGTAGTTTAAAATTAACCAAACGAAAAGCAGGTAGTCCTACAGATCTTAGTGAGGCATTTTCTCAATTAAGGCTCCTTCCTCTCTGATGACTTTAGTTTGTGTCAAGTTCACATAAAACCAGCCAGTACAAATAATTTTTTTTTTTTTGTTTTTTTTTCGAGACAGGGTTTCTCTGTACAGCCCTAGCTGTCCTGGAACTCACTCTGTAGACCAGGCTAGCTTCAAACTCTCGAACTCAGAAATCCGCCTGCCTCTGCCTCCCAAGTGCTGGGATTAAAGGCGTGCGCCACCACCACCTGGCACAAATAATTTTTTTAAAGAAAAGAACTGAAGTCCTCTTGTATTACTTTTCCTGTTGCTGTAATAAATACCCTGACAAAATCAACTTAAAGAAGGGTTTATCCTCGTTCACAATTCCTCATGGTGGGGAAATCATGCAACAGCTAGCCGATTACACTACATCCACAGTCGGAAACAGCTCATGTCGCCCTTTTATATCAGTTTACAACTTCAGACCATGGAATAAGTGCTTCCCACAGCTAAGACTAATTTAGTCATGTAGATTGAAGCATTGAGTGGTAAAATGTTGTAGTGAATTACCCCTTTTCCTGAAGTTTGGAGGACCAAAAAATAATAAAGTGTATTGCATCTTAGCAAAGACTTTTTTTTTTTTTTATAAATCCAATCTTGTTTCCAAAAATATGTCTGCCCGGGTCTTAAAAGCCATCATTATAAATTACCAATAAAGTATAACATATTCAGACTAACAAAATCATTTCCTCAGTGACAATACTCCAACCATATGGATATTAGTCATAGAAACTAGAAACTTTATATTTTTTAAAGTTGTTTTAATCTAGGTAGTCTGCACTTAAATATCAACCATTTTCCTTTCTTTGCTTCTTTCCTTAAAATTTATATGCATCCAATACATTTAATTAAGAAATGTATGGTTTTTATTATGCTGTATTTTCTTTTTTTAAATGATTGTTTATACTTTCAATTAAAAATGTACAAAATAAAATTACATTGCTGGTCTTGTAAGAGCTCTACAATTTTCCTAAATGTACCTATAACTACAACCATTCATATATTTCAAGAAGTTGGATTCTGTCCATTTGTTATCTTTAAGACTATCTTAGATTTAAAAGCTACCTTATTGGACATTTAAAGTGTATTATAACACCGTGGTAGTTAATAAAACATTATTTTTTTTTCTTTTAGTTTGTTGTAGTCTGGTGCATTTAAAATACAGCAATGGTATGGATAAGAAAGTCTGGCTTATTTTTCTTTACTTTAGATTTTTATTTTTGATTCTTGACTTCAGATGCTAGGATTGTAAATAAATATATTTACTTTTTAAAAAAAAAGACTAATCTATATAATCCCTCATAGGAAATACTCAGAGGCTAATCTCCTAGGTGATTCTAGGTACTGTCAGGTTGAAAATCTAATATTATAATGGCTAATTTCAACTGTCAATTTGATGAGATATGGAATCACCTGGAAGATAAGCTGCTGGTTATGACCATTGATCTGGTTATTAAAATGGAAAGACTTACCCACTGTGGGTGGCACCATTCCCTAAGCTAGGGTACTGGATTGTATTAAAAAATAAAAAAGGAGAAAGTAAGCTAAGCATAGCATTCCTTACTTTCTGCACTCGACTTTAGATGCAACATGACTCAAGCTCCTGCTGCCAGGCCTTCCCCACTACAATGGACTGTAGCTGTGAACTGGAAGCCAAAATAAACCCACTCTCCCTGCAACTGCTTTGTTAGAGGATTTTATCACAGCAACAGAAATGGAACCAAGACAGAAATTAGCCATTACATTTCTGTTTTAAACACATATAAAAATATGCTGCTTCCTAAGGAGAAGTATCTTTATAGAATGTCAAAGTACAAAGTGGTGCTAGGCCACTGGGGCTAGAGCAGTCTGTTCCTCCTGGCGATCCATCTCTTGCTTCAACCCCAGGTCCTTTCTCTTTGCAAGGTTATTTCCTAGAATTCTCTGACTGTGGAGGATAACATCAGTCAGGGAAGAGAAGGCAGCTGTATTCCTACTCTTACTTTTATGAAGACCATTTAGTCTCTGGATCAAGACTTTAAGCTCCATGGGTCCCAGTATTTGCCTCTTCTTTTGCCCAGCTAGCTCACTGTACTTACACTAAATTTAGGGCCAAACATAAAAATAGTTTGTTTAATAGGCAATTGTCTTCCAAACATCAATATATCTTGGAAAGTCAGTGTCTTAATATCATCAGTTGCCAAGATATGGTGAATTTTAGGAGGCAGTAAGCTAAAGATTTTCATCTGAGAACCCCAAATGATGCCTCCTCCCTGTTCCCAGAATGAAGGCGTGTTAGCAAAAGTTTAAGAATTAATGTTTCTGCTTGCAAAGACACTGCAAAGGTATTTACTTTAAAAAAAATTAAAGATGGGCCAGAGAGATGCTCAGTAGGTAGGCACATGCTACAATCCTGACAACATGAGTTCAACCTGAGTCCCACATGATGGAAGGTGAGAACTGACTCCAGCAAGATGTCATCTAACCTCCATTTGAGTGTCACAGTGCACACACACACACACTAAATAAACAAACAAACAAATAAATATTAAGAACAAAACAAAACAGAGGGCTGGAGAGATGGCTCAGCAGTTAGGAGCACTGGCTGATCTTCTAGAGGACACAAGGTTGATTCCTTAGCAGCCGCGTGGAGGATCTCAATCCATTTCCAGGGGCTCCAGTGCCCTTTTCTGGCATTAATGAGCACCAGGCTCGCACATAATTAACACAGTCATATTCAAGCAAAACATTCCTACACATAAAAATAAAATGATTAAAACAAAATGAACAAACAATACACATGTGAAGAATGTTTGAGTAGAGAGAGAAAAAGAATAACTTCCTGCCTTAACAAGCTTATAGCAATTAGAAGACTTGAAAAAAAAGTTGAAGACACTGTGACAGTATTGACCAGATATGAATATGTTAAGGACTACCTAGCCTACCTAAGGGAGCTGAGAAGGCTGAACCTTATAGAAGCTTGAAGAAGTAATAGGAATTTCAGATGGGTTCAATGGAAAGTATTCCAAACAGAGGCTCCAGCAGAGATGGAGACATACCATCTGGAGAGTGGGTCTGGTGGGAATGCTACAAGAGCCTAAGAGAGGCAGGTGAGAGAGCTGGAAAGGAAAGCAGGGGTTAAGCCCTGACCAACCCTGCCCAGCAAGCTAACCAAGCTAACTCTGAGCTGCTAAGCAATTACTGCTCAAACTCTATTGATTTGAGATCTAGTGTTTGTTTGTTTAGTGGATTTGGTGACACAGTAACACCTCCACCACACAGCAGAGATAAAAGAGCTGACCAAGACTGAATATGCCACCAGTGCGGAAGATATCTCAGTGAGAGACTAGTTTACCTAGCATGCAAAGGCTTTGGGTTGGTGTGTGAAGGGTGGCAGCTTCCTGAGTGCTATGAATCCGTGGGATATGGATTTTAGGGAAATATATGAGTTTGAAGAAGGTTAGGATATCAATGAATTTGGTTTTTACAACTCATAGAGACCTTTTCAATCTGTGGGAAATCTGTAAAAATATTCAATCACATAATTCTATGCAGACCAGTTGTCATGGTCTGAGTTCCCAGGGAAGTTTGATTAGTTTGAAGCTTCAGTTGATACCAACAATATGAACAGGATAATTCCCAGGCTTCTGGTAAAACTGAACAAAGTTACCATACACAGGACACAAGTTACCATTATCTGTATTATATTCTCTTAGATGTTCCCAGCCTTATCTCTGAGATAACCCAACACTAGCAGATAGGAAATGAGAAGTTTCGATTATTTCCCCTCACTGTCAGTAATCTACAAATAACGAAGATGTGAGAATAAAACAAAGCAGGCATTATCACCAGACTTCTCGGCATTTTAGCAAGTTCTATAGTTATCTAAACCACTTCTCTATGAACTCAAAATCATCTACATCAATGGGAAAGACATTTTAAAGCTTTTTAAAGAATATCATCACCTAGAGGATAGAATTTATAAACAGATACAAAAGTCAACCAAAGTTCAACATACTTTGAAAATTAACTCACTAGGTAGATCAGGCTGGATCTCACATAGATCTGCCTACCTCTGCCTTGAAAATGCTGAAATTAAAGGCACAAATCACCATACTCATCTAGGAATGGATTAAATTTCTATGGTACATTACTTAAATTTTACCACAATCTTAGGACAATAACCTATTAAAAAGGAGCAACTTGGGGCTGAAGCAAGAGCCCAGAAGTTAAGAGCACTGCCTGCTCTTCCAGAAGACCCTGTAAACTGACCCAGATGGCAGCTTACAGCTGTCTGTAACTCCAGTTCCAGGGGATTTGACATCCTCACACAGACACACAGGTAAGCAAAAAACCAATGCTCATAAATAAAAAGATAGGTAAAAGGAAATCATTTTAAAAAGATTGAGCAATTTCCTGACAACATTTCACAGTGCATTATTCTTTGGGCATTTCCATAAGTACCTCTGCTGACCTAGAGCAACTGTATAACTACAGAAGTACTATACAATTTACTACAGTTTTATTTTAAAAGTCCAACTAATTTAGCCAGGTGGCAAACACCTTTAATGCCAGTTCTTGGAAGGCAGGACCACGAGGATCTCTGAGTTTGAGGCCAGCCTGGTCTATAGAGTGAACTCCAGGACAGCCAGAACTACACAGAGAAACTATCTCAAAAAAAAAAAAAACTTCAACAACAAAAGTCTAACTAATTTAATCATTCTGCCATCAAAATGGTAAAATTCAGGCATTTCTACTTTCTCTGACCTTTTTTATTCTTCAGGATTTAAGTGATGGGCTGAAAACAGAGATTGTGGCCCGTTAAAATTCAGCCATGTAATTCTTGCACAGGCATGGCCAAATTTTAAACAAAACTTGGTCACCTAAGGACACTTGTCAGCATTCAAGCTAACAATATTCTGTTCAGCCAATATTCTCAGGCTTTTCGTTTATATATTCTAAAATTTTTTTAAAAAATTAAGAAAAAAAGAGAGATTCACAATACCAACACTTTCCCATAAGGATATTAGATTTAAATTCCAAACTAAGAAGTAGTGTGGGAAAGAAAACAAACAGTGTCAAGAGTTCTAGCTCAATGATCATCAATACCCTGAGGCTTATTATTCAGAGCTAACAGGGAGTGGTTTTTTTTTCCTTGACAAATTATCAAGGTTATTTTTTCCCTAACAAATTATTACAGGCTCCAGATATCTGCCTTAAAAGATTAGACAACTGATAATGTTTTTGCGTTTTTTTAATGCACCAAAAAAATAATTGGAGGCCAGGATTGTCTGGGGGCATTAATTAAAAGAAAGAAATTCATATCAGCAATTCACTCCCAAAATCATGGTTAATTCTAAAGTACACAGTTCAACTAGTTTGGTTGCAGGACATTTTCTTTATGTCTATAAATTATCCTCCAAATACTGAAATGGGATATTTCAAACACAGATTCCTCAAATGTGAGTCAAACACCTAACAAAAGTTCGTCAGCAGAGGCAGAGGGGATACTAAGGACGCGGGTACGGAAGGGATGTTCAGCAGTACCGGCCGCCAACGTCCAGCAGACATCGCTTGTACACCTGCTCTTGGCTTGGCTGTCTCCAGCTTCCCTCTGCGGAGACGGGGAAGAAAAGGCCAGGAGCCACGGGGCGCCAGCAGATCGGAGGATCCGCAGCGGCCGTCCGCCCTGCGGCCTGCACCCCCGGACCGGCCGCGGCCTCGCGTAAAGCGCGAGCTCGGAGCAGCCGCGAGGGCCGGCGGACACGAGCCGGCCAAGGCGCCGTGCCGTGAGTCCCGGGTCCCCGCCCGCCGTCCCAGCCCCGCTCACCCGGGCTCTTCAGGTTGTAGCGGGTCTCCATGGCGGACGTCCCCGCTGCCGCTCTCGTTCGCGCCGCAGCTGCCCCGGTGTCGCGCGGCGGACGCGCCTGGCGAGGGCCTCCGCTGACACCGCCCAGTCCAGCCCGACCGCGGGCGAGGTGCCGGCCGCGGGGTCCGCCTCCCTGAGGGCCGGCCGGGCGCCGGGGCGTCGCCGAACGGGGCGCCGGGCTGCGGACGGCCTGCGGGGCTGACGTTCGGCCCGACGCGCCGCTGCGTCACCGCCAGCGCCCGGTCTGTGAAGTCGACCTGACGTGGCAGTCGCTTCGTGGCGGTCGTTCACTCGGCGGCGGCGGCGGCCCCGCGAAGCCCGCCCGGGGACCTGAGGAGATGAGCGGCACCCTCGTCGTCTCCTCGGCCCATCCGGGGAGACCGACTCGCCGCGGGCTCTTCAGAGGTTCCCCCGGAGCTCGCGGGAAGCTCGGAGGAACGGCGCAGCCCGTAGCTGCGGGCGAGCCAGCGGGCGGGCGGGCGCGGCCTGGGGCTCCCCCGCCGTGACGTGCGCTTCTCCGAGCCCGCAGTTGGACTCGGTACGATGGACCGGAGTAGGCTTGTGTACTCGTGGCCTCTAGCTCCGCGGTGCGATTAGCTAAGGCACCATTTTCGGGGTGCACCAGAACCTTCCAGAAATAAAACCAAGGGTCACCAGAAATTTTAGTAAAAGCACATAAATGGAAGCAGGTCAGACTTGAGGGGATACGGTACGTTTATCTTTGTGGATTGTGGAGGACAGAGGAAATATGGTTCAGAAGGATTAACGAGGGAAAGGAGTCTCAAGAAAGAAGGGACCTAGTAGAGATTAGAGGAAGTTATAGGTGGGATGAAGATTAACTAATTAGAAAAATTAGTGTTTGTTTTATAATATTGTCAAAGTTAACAGGCTGTACATGAAGTCGTAATTTGTCCCCGCCGACTGAAGTGGGAGGGGAAAAAAGATTTAAATGGCACCTTTTAAGCCATTAAATGTGATGTTTTCTGACAATCTGATGTATAGAGAAGCCAGCGAAACCAAACTTGAATGTACTTCTTCATTAAGCTTTCATTCTTTGTGTTCCTCAAATTTAGCATCTGACAACCTGCCCAGCTCAGCAACCGGCCTCGTACCCAGGCCTGTCAAGGGAGTGTAGTCATTCTCATCCACCAGCCAGCCCGAGGGCACTTTCCCCTGAGGCTCTCCTCTTCTTCCGAACAAAGGAGATAAGGATGTTTCCCTTTTCTTTTATTCTTGAAGCCACAACACCTCGTCCTTGGGGGCTCGACCTTAAGTAAAAACAACAAATCATCACAGATCATCACTGCAAGAGAAAAGCCAACTCTGGTTTTTCTCTAAATAGAAACGTGTACAGAGAGGGTAAATATGTTGATAAAGAGGGAGTAAATGCTACTTAAAGGTTACAAATTTCTTAACTGTTAATTTGGTGGGAAAAAAAATTAATTTTCCCAGAAATGTAGGTTTGTCAAAAGAATACTTTTTGTTTTGTTTTCAGAACAAATTCCTTCCTAGAAGAAAGTAAAAATTTATAGCAGACAAAAAGACTCTATCCCAAATTAAATTTGGAAGAACTTTCATCTTATTCTTGATAATCCTGAAGATAACTTTAAAAAATAAAAAAAAAAACAAGCTTAAATCAGTCTCGGGAGATACCACAAAAAACAAAAGATGAAATTCAAAACACTTCAGAGTCTTGACAGCTTTGAGCTACAATCCCCATGTGTTCCCTTTCCCAAGAGAAGGACAAAGCCTGTTGAGTGTGGGTCCCTTCCCCTTAGCGTTGACATCTTAATACAGGCTCTACTGGATCAATTCATTTATTCTTCATGAGTGTTGGCCGTAACACAGATGATCTTTATAGTTGAAGAAAATTGAAGTCGTGAAGAAATTAAGCAGTTTATTTAAGTTCCCTTATTTATTTTGAGTACAGTGCAGGTTCTTAGCCTCTTGGTATATTTTACTGTTATAGTCCAGGTGAGAAGTTACAGACCACCACACATATATAAGGCCAAATTACAGCTCTTTATTAAGCCAGCAACCAAGAGCAGGATCTTGCCCCAAAGACTCTCAGCACCAAAGCTCAGAGTATAGCATGTCTAAAGAGAAACCACGATGGCATTGTCAGGGGAACATGTTTGCATTTGTTTTGACTATATAACCAGCAAATATTTTGATTATGTATCTGAGCCATGGAAAGTCCCAAATGTGCTGCCAAGGCGGATGTGACTGTTGCAGGGGTTGGGGAAGGGGGTAGAAGCTGAAAAAAGTGCCCAAGCAGACACAAAATGGAGCCAGAGTAAGATCAGGACAAAATGGTGTTACCTCAGTCATTTCACTCATTTCGTCTAGGTACTTTTCAAATATTTGACAAAAGAAGAAAGGGGATCATGATCCTCATGTCCATGTCCCTTTTGGGTTTCTTTAGTTTCCAATGCGTGCCCACTGGCTTCTTTCTAGCTTTGTAGCCAGAGCAGAGCTAGAGAGCTGGTCCCTGTAGTCTGGGAGGTGAGGCTGGTCTGGGTGAACTTTCACAGTCTGGGCTTCTTCCTTCTCAGGCAGTGTTGTTTTTCTTACCTGTATTTGGTGGATGCATGGGGTGACACCTCTCACTTAGTATTTAGATGATTGTCCATAGGTTAGCCATAGCTGACTACCCCTGGGAAGCCAGGTGTGATGGCGCATGCCTTTATCCCAGTACCCAGAAGTTGGAGCCAACCTGGTCTACAAAGTCTACAGATCAAGTTCCAGGACTGCCAGGGCTACACAGAGAAACCGTATCTCAGAATAAAAACAAAGGGGGATGCACTTTTTACAGAATTAGCTAATTACCTCTCAGCCATGGAATTAGCTTTTCCTCAAAAGGAGGAGAATTGGTAGCCAGAGTAAAGGGCATGGCCAACTGAACTAGTATGCAGGTCCCATACCAGTAGGGATGGCAGGCTTACGTACAAGGTTTGCCCTGTTTTTAGAACTCAGCTGTTTGACAAACTCCCATTTGTTTGAGTAGCTGCTATTTGTCTCTGTGTTGTTTGGGACATTGAGGACGTGGACACAGACGCTAAGATCTTCCAATGGGCAAGAGAACCCATTCCCTACATGTGAGACATGAGGAGTAATTTACCTTTTATCTTTTTTTTTTTAAAAAAAAAAACATTTTGTTCTTATGTGCTTTTGGTGTTTTGCCTACATGTAAGTCTGTGTGAGATGTCAGATCCCCTGGAACTGGAGTTATATAGACAGTTGTGAGTTACCATGTGGGTGCTGGTAATTGAACCCAGCTCCTTCAGAAGAGCAGCCAGTGCTCTTAACCACTGGGCCATCTCTCCAGACTGTTAATTCATCTTCTATAGGGAAGGAGGAAGTTTCCCTGGTCTGGAATACATAACCAGAGACATGAACAGCAGACTTCTGGCAAGCCTGACTTCCCTTGCATCTTTATTTTATTAAATGAGACTAACATGTAATTTACTTTGATGGGGTTTGTGTCCCATCACAGAGAAAGGGCATTACTTGAACCTGGAGATGTCCTGACATGCAAGTGCATTGTAATTCTAACCCATTTTATGAAATCATTTATTTAAATACACCTTAAGTTGAATATTATTTCACATTAAACAAAATTTAAACTTGTTTTAAGTTTCTTTAGGCTTAACCTTGACAACATACACAGAAGGTCTCTTCTCCAAGCTTGTCTCTGTAAATTAATTTCATTTGTTTAGGGTGATTACAAACAATTCATGCTCAGGGCTGAAGTAAGCAGGTCAGATTCCATCTCCTAACCCAGGTCTTAGTGAGCTAAAACTGTGTATGACAATTTAAAGAAAAAAATCGTACTCAAGAGACATTTGTTTCTCTGTAACTGAGAAATAGAAACGAAACCAAGAGTCTCTGGGCTTGATACAGAAACAAGACCACTGGCATAGGATGAGTGAGTCCCAAGAATAAACAGTCTATTTATATCAGAGGAAGCAGGCTTGGAGACCCAACAACTAGCATAGCTTTTATCTAGAGTCTCCTGCCCACGCAGGGCAGCTACCGGGTCTCTCCCACAGAACAACTGGCACCCATAGCCACTCTGAGGTGGAGTCTTGGACTCACAGGCTGCCAGGATGCCTTGGTCTTAGTGGAGATGAGGGGGAGGGGCGGCTCTGCCCCTGCCCACATTGCAGTTCCTGCTCTGGTGACTCCCACTGCTAGCACACACCCTGTGCCACAAGCTCTCCTGCAGCAGCTGACCCTATCATACAGGGCCTGCCCTCCGGGCTCAGGAAGCACTTTAGGAGGAGGGCCTGTGGGTATCAAGTGGGCTCTGGCTCTTCTGGAGACCGTAAATGGGAATTGAGCATTGGGGTCAGAGGGTCAGAGAGTCTAGGAGAAGTGGAGGAGGAGGCTGGGAAAGAGGGGCCAAGTGGTGGGGGGGAGAGGCTTAGAGCTTGGGGTGAAAGGAGAGAAGCAGATGGGGAGTCTCCAGACAAAATGAAACACAGATGGAATCAGAGGACGGAGTTTGCTGGGACCACGAGTATAATCCCAGAAAGGAATTGGCACAACTCACGTAGCAGGTGACAAGAGCAGTGGCTTTCTCCATTAAAGGTGAGGTGCACATGGCAAGTTGGCTTCTGATCATTAAGTCAAAGAGCCTGGAGAACAGACCGGCTCTCTTGTCCCTGAGACAGAGCCAAAGGAGACAAGACATTAATGACAAAAATGCTGTTCTCTGGGCAGAATCTGTCCAGTGACTCACACAACAATTCGACCCGCCAGCCATTAGAAACCCAGGTCTCCCAAACACTCATCAGAGTCAGAATCCGAATCCCAGGTGGTCTACTGGTGTCCCAATATAGTGTGAGAGGACAAGGGACTGCCCAAACCTAAGAGCTTGAAAAGAGGTATATGTTTCCTAGATTCCGGTGCTACTTGGAGGGTACATTCCTTAAGATACCTACTCTTCAGCACTTAAAACTATTCTCATTTTTTGAAATGCTTTTTTCTTCGCTGTGCATAATGGTGCATCCCTTTAATCCCAGCACTTGAGTAGCAGGCAGATCTGAGTTCAAGACTAGCCTGATCTGCAGAGAAAGTTCCAGGATAGCCAGGTCTACACAGAGAAACCATGTCTCAAAAAACGAAAAGAAAACAAAAACCCTGCCCTTTTTTCTTTAATGATCATGACTATCATTCCATATTTGAG